AGATGTTTTAAATATTGCAACAGTTAAAAGTGTGATATTGTCTTTTCAAATCCTAGGGAAGGGCCGGAGTAAAGGGAGACCCAGGCCTCACTGTGAGTTCATTCATTCAACACATGTTTAACTATTTTTGAAAAAACGCACAGCTTAATGTGTGTTTTCTACATTTTTCAGAGAGAAGACATCATTAAGTTGATCAAAGAAATCTGTGGTAAGACTATACACCAAGTAAATTTTTTAAAAACTGTCTAAAGGAGAGAGCACGTAGCGGTGTGAAATCTCCAAGGAGATGTAATAAATCTGTTCGGAGAGAAACTTTGGATTCACTGCCAACATGAATGAGTCAAATGGCAGAATAGGTATAAGAGGTTTGGTCCAGATTCAGGTTCCATGAATTTGTAGGAGTTAAACATTTTTAAAGCAGAATAAATTTGTTTCATTTGGCCACTTGGGGGAAGCAGAACACACCATAAACAAAGCAAAACTGATATTACTTTCAATTGTAAGCAAACATTAACACATCCATCACACAATAAGCAACACTGAGCAAAATGTACATTTCATTTGGAGTCATTCTTCTGCTCGCCTGAGTATTTTAAGTCTAATAATTCAAGTTCTTTCTTTTCTGCTGTGGCCTATGTGGCTCTTTCGCTGCTAACTTTATTGCCAACTAGTGATCAAATAGTGTGTGTTTTTTTAGTGCCGATACCAGTTACTAGTAATCAAGACTGATAACCAAGTTTTCGAAACTATGTACTTGCAGCAAAAATGGTGTTAAAATGTGGAATAACACAATCTCCAACACAAAACTACACTGAAAATAAAGTGATTTGTTTGACAAACATCTGCAACTGCAATAGGAACAGGAAAAGCAAACCAATACAGTGGAGGTGCTGATCTGAAACCCAAAACAAGTAGCGTAAAGACGCTATAATGCTCCACAACACTGAGGAGAACTACTGTGAGTTGACAGTTCTCAGTCAATTTCGCTAAAGTTAGGACACATCATTTACCTCAACATTGTCACTTGAGCATTGCCTGAACAAAAAGAACAACAACTATGGATAAGCTTTAAAGTAGCATGAAGCAAACCTCAGAACAAGACAGTGGTCAAGAGTTAACTGTATTGTATTATTTTCAGGATGTGGCATCAAGTGCAAAGAAAGACCAATGGAACTGGTGTTCGTCATCGACAGTTCAGAGAGCGTCGGCCCAGAGAACTTTGAGATCATCAAAGACTTTGTCACGAGGTTGGTGGACCGGACCACAGTGGGACGAAACGCCACCAGAATCGGACTGGTGCTCTACAGCCTGGACGTCCACTTAGAGTTCAACTTGGCTCGCTACATGACCAAACAGGACGTCAAGCAGGCAATCAGAAAGACACTTTATATGGGTGAGGGCACTTACACTGGCACTGCCATTAGAAAGGCCACTCAGGAGGCTTTCTTCGGCGCCCGCTCTGGAGTTCGAAAAGTCGCCATCGTCATCACTGATGGTCAGACAGACAAACGAGAGCCTGTCAAACTTGACATCGCAGTGCGGGAGGCTCATGCTGCAAACATTGAGATGTACGCTCTGGGGATTGTCAATTCTTCTGATCCTACACAAGCCGAGTTCCTTCGAGAACTCAACCTCATTGCCTCGGATCCAGACAGTGAACACATGTACCTCATTGATGACTTCAATACTCTACCAGGTGATAAGCACAGTCAGATGATGTAAATCAAACTCCTTCATTGTTGTGTTCAGTCTACAGGTTGTAAAGTCCATAAAATTAACAGATTTCGTCTTCTTTTCTTTTTTTTCTCAGCATTAGAGTCTAAACTTGTCAGCCAGTTCTGTGAAGATGAAAACGGCGCCCTTATTTACAATCGTGTTACAAATGGACACTGGAATGGAAACAATGGTCTCACTGGTAACAATGGACATGGAGAGAATACCAATGGATACAATGGCTACGGCAATAATGGTTATGGTTATGGAAATAATGGATATGGGAACAATGGGAATGGTTACAATTACCAAGAAGAGATCCAAAATCAGAGGCGCACCAACAGCCGAGTTCGTGGAGACACTTTCGCGCTGCCCATCAGTGCTGAGCCGCTCCCAGTTCAGGTCTTTGCTGAAAACTTCTATGTATTTTTTTTTATATTGTCTTTATTGGTGGTAGAGAATTTATCACAATACTCATATATTGTATGTTGTTGTTTTACCGTAGGAGGTGGAAGATGATGAGGGTGAAGATTTAGACTTAAGGGCTCACGTGCCAGTTGGTGGCACTGTGTCCATAGTGAACAAAACCACACTGTTGTCACCTGTGAGAGAAAGCGCTACCTCTAGGGAGGTCGTCCTATCATCTTCATCATCTTCTTCATCATCATCCTCATCTGCAACATCTGTGTCGACGGTGGGCTCGGGTTCATCCTCAAACTCTGGTCAGTTGCAGAATGTAGTGAATCCAGCACAGCCGGAAGGTGAGTACTGCACTCCTCCTCAGTCTGCCTTCTTTGTGAAGTACATTTTTTAACATGTCACTCGGAAAAATATGAAAATAATAGTATTAGTAATGGCTACATTCAACATATCTGCTTCATTTGCTTAATGGCTACTGTCACACAGGACACTTGAATGAAACTTCACTAATGTTCTTTACCTACTATGACAAGTCAAACGTCATTGTAAAACTACTCAATACTACACAACAGCAAGTTAGATTGGAGTAACTCAGCCATACAAGTTTGAACCAGAAACCAATTCTGAAGAAGAATAATGATAAAGGTCTGCCATGCAAGTTGACAGAACAGTTCTTTAGTTTTAGTGTATATGAGACCCCAGGAGTCATAATCTGTTGGAAATGCTCTGCCATGATGTGTGTTCTAACATATACAAATATTATATGACCATGAAAACAAGGTTATAAAAATGATTTTCACCAGAACAGGTCTTTTAAGATCGCTGTGTACGACAAAATAACAACCATAAACCAAAAGCAACCATTTTTCCAGCGATGCAGATACAAAATGTATATTTTCACCACCAAAATCTGTAATTTGTCTACAAATTTGAGCAGCTCCTTCATTTTATTTGTCCAGTGCATTGTGGGAAAACAGTATCCATCAACAGCACCCTCAGAAATTGATGTATTTAGAATGTATTCCATCGGCTTAAAGTACATTTTATTTCTGTCCTTTTTCATTGCGAACACATAATACACCAAAAAATGCTTAGAAGACGTGGTTCATTGCACTGTTCTTGTTTACTACATTAATATTCTTTGGAAAACATGGGTCTCACATACCATTACTTTTCCAGAGGTCCTTCCCCTTGACCCTCGCTGTAACCTCAGCTTGGATCAAGGCACCTGCCGGAACTATAGCATCCACTGGTATTATGACAAGCAGGCCAACTCCTGTGCACAGTTCTGGTACGGAGGCTGTGGTGGAAATGACAACCGATATGAAACAGAAGACGAATGCAAGAAGACTTGTGTACTATTAAGAACAGGTAACCTTCGTTCTTTTTGTAACAGTAACTGTACATATTCTTTCTGTTGAATTTTTTCTAAATATTATACTTTTTGTCCCATCAGCTGGATAAAAGGAGGAGAAGCCATCAGAAAGTGGATTCTACTGCTCTGCAATCTGCTGATTTGTAGTTTAATGTGATGCATTCTGCCACTTGTGTTTGGAAAATGTCATGCACTTTTCAAACACTTTAGTCCTAATACACAAATGCATTTTCTTAATGCATCAAACAAAAAGGCTGCTGACATGTTGCTGGTTTAACCCAATAAATGTCTCACTATCCTATTAAAATTTACAAAAACTGACTTTATTACCTCGCAAAAATTATGTAGCGCTTAATACACCAGGAATGGTGAAATCTTAATTCAGGGTTTGCCTATCCTGGTTTTAAAGTGACAACTTCAGTTGACATTAACCTATAGATCATCCTTATACCTCTCTGAGCCACGTGCTTTATGTACACTGAATATATTTTTAGTATGACAGCAATGGTGAGATGTTTTTTGATATGATTTACTGAAATGTGTTTTAAGTACTTTTGTGTATGTGAACTGTTTGTCTTTATTGCAATGTGTCCTTTTGGATTACAACTGGCAGCTGTAATAAAGGGCCATTTTTATTTGGGTACTGCTTTCAGAGGTCTACTGCCAATGTCATCTTGAACAATGAGGCTTTCTGCAATCTATCCATGAAAGGCCTGCCTATTTGGGCTGTGTGTGTGTGTATCTGAATTTATGTTTTTGAAAATGTTTTTTAATAATAAAATATGAAAAGGTGGTTGCGCGTTTTGTGTTTATTAAAATAAGCTGTATCACTGTTATTATGAGAGTCATCATCGTCTGTGTGACAGAAAATAGGGCCAGTAAGTGACCCTTCAGTACTTGGGGTTAAATTTTGACAGATTTGTACGCCCATGGAAAGTCTACAGCCTTTAATAAAACACAAATTAGGAGTTCATTGGGTTTACTAGTTTGCATAAGTTTGGAGCGTTCTACTCTACAGTGGAACTAAGAGAAAAATCACTTACATACTTTGATAGCACACTAGAACTTCTAGGAGAATCATACTGGAGTATTATTGTCACCACCAATCCACTGTAACAAGAAATTGGGGAAAAAATGAAGATAAAGGGCGTACTGTCTCAACAAGTTGTACCTAAATAGAATTCTCTGCCTTTCTGGAAGGTCTGTGTTAACCCTGTAAAACTAATGTTTTCTAGAAGCTAGTTGCTGTGAAATTGAGATTAATGGCTCCAACCACAATGGCAGCAAAACTGAAATAAACTAAAAAGAATGACAAAATGATATTTTTTTAAATTTCTTTTAAAGGCTTGATAAGGTTTGTCTGTAGCTCACAAACATGTTTTCTTCTGGTGTTTGAAATAAATTTCTAGCAGACTGTCACTTCCGAAAACCTTTTTTGTCCGCTCGGCTCGCCGTCTGTTGCCACGGTGATTATGACGCTACACGGGCTTCATCAGATTAGCTAGTTTCACGTTTAGCTCATAGCTGTGGGTGGTTATTAAACTTTATTAAAAGAACCCGTGGCAGTGACAGCCTGCAGATATGGCGTCTGTTTTAGATGCTCTCTGGGAAGACAGAGACGTTAGATTCGACATAACAGCGCAGTAAGTTAACTCTGAATTAATTTGGGATTATTTCCCTGTCGTTCAGGCTAGCTAGCTAACCTAGCTAAACTAAGCTAAGTAGCTAACCAAAGCAACGTTATCAGTTAAATTAAATCTACGCTGCAAGGTTTTTCTGACAGCTGTATTTGGCTGCGTATTCTTTCGAGAAATACTATTTACGGTAGCTCCATGTCACCTTTGTCTTTGTGTGGAGATGTGATAGATTAGCTTAGTACGAGCATTGCCGCGACACCCTACGATGTACTAAACTAATCTTCCGCTGTTACGCCTATCACTGATCAATATGTCAATCTATTCGGTGCACAGGCAGATGAAAACTCGTCCAGGAGAGGTGCTGATAGATTGCCTGGACTCAATTGAAGACACGAAAGGAAACAACGGAGATCGGGGTATTTTTTTGCAATCTTGGAGCATTTAACTATCTGGAAAATGTATGTGTGGCTGATAAAACTGATAATAATGTCACTATTTTTGCAGGGCGACTCCTAGTAACAAATCTGAGAATCATTTGGCATTCTTTGGCCCTTCCAAGAGTCAATTTGTGTAAGTACATCTGCCTCCAACTGCTGAATATGTGTGCCCTCTCTTGGAAATGTCTGGTATAGTGAGACCTTAGAATTTGGTGTGATAGTGATTTAAGATTATGTCAGAAAGCATACTGAAAAACACAGAAGTAAACATTATCAGACACCATGTCGGATATCTGAATGAGGTCTTTACTTTGGAAGTTCACATTTGCGAGTACATAGTACAGAGTCAGCATGACTGGAGACAATATGAATCACAGCAGGCTTAAATTAAATCTGTTGTCTTTTTCAGCTGTGGGTTACAACACCATTATTAACATTACAACAAGGACAGCTAACTCAGTAAGTAAATCCTTGTTTTACTTGTGTAACAGTTTTTTTTTTCTCTTCAAACATATTTGTTCAGAATCTTTTTTCATACACATCATATAAAGTATAACTCGAACAAATACCTGATTGCCTCCAAGGTCGTTTAAAATAAGCCTTTTAAAATCTTTTGAAATCACTTTTACAAATGGAAAAATGTCTAACCTGTGCATGGACAAAGCCAGTAACGGTATAGAAATGTATCATGAATATAATCAAGATAGATAAACATGCTAATTCACTAAATAACTGCTCCTTTCTAGAAACTGAGAGGTCAAACTGAAGCTCTCTACATCTTGACAAAGTCCAACAACACAAGATTTGAGTTCATCTTTACAAATGTGGTTCCAGGAAGTCCAAGACTCTTTACTTCTGTCATTGCTGTACACAGGTAAAAACAGTACTGAGGGAATGGTAAATTCTTTGAATACATTCTGTGCCAAATGTATGTCTTACTAATGATTTGAAATGATGTTTTATGCTGTTTTAGGGCCTATGAGACTTCTAAAATGTACCGGGACCTAAAATTGCGAGCTGCTCTTATTCAAAATAAGCAGCTTAGACTGTTGCCCCGGGAGCAAGTGTATGATAAAATTAATGGTGTTTGGAATTTATCCAGCGATCAGGTACTGGTGCTGTTTCTGTAATGTGCTTGTCAAATCATTTTTATTGTTTTTACTTAGCCTTGCCATGTTAATTTAATGTATGATCTTTTTTGTGGTCCTTTTTTGAAAATGTGCATATACTGTATAAAGCCGAACCTGTTTTACGGAGTATAAAAAATTCTATTAATATTCACAAGTGATTTTATTTTAACGAGCAGTACAGTTAAACTGAAAGTTGTTTTTCTCTATTAAATAATGTTTTTTCTTGAATTCAGTTCAGATTTTTATACATGGGAGATTACACGTACTTTTTTTTTTGTCATTTTAGGAGATAATTCATTTGCAATATGTGTAACTGTTTGTTTTGCTTTGTGATTGTTGGCTTTCTTTGTTTTAGGGTAATCTTGGGACCTTCTTTATTACCAATGTACGGATTGTGTGGCATGCTAATATGAATGAGAGCTTCAATGTCAGCATTCCTTACCTCCAGATCGTAAGTATAGTTCAATAAAGAACATTATCTGTACAGTCCTCCCTGAAAACTATACCAACTCCCATCCCTGTGTATGTAATGTTACAACAAACCTACTCACCAGACCTACCACCAGTGTTCAGAAATGCTTCATATGATCCAACCATAACCCTCACCTAGATAATTCCTTATTACTTTACATTATTCAGTACTAGTGACACAATTCTGAGACACTTCTGTGGGTTGTTGGTGATGATTTTCTAACAAACTACTCACATAAATCAGAGTCCGATTGTTTCTGTTATCAAGGATTATGTGTTAGGTGTTTAACATTAACTCTTTTCTCCCCCTAGTGGTCGATCAGAATAAGAGACTCAAAGTTTGGTTTGGCTTTGGTCATTGAGAGTTCACGCCAGGTAACTTCTCGCCACTTTCATTCCCACTCATCTGATGTAATCACATTATTAGGGATTTGCTCCTCAGTTTCGATGCTTGTAATGTACTAATATGCACTGTCTTTGTGGTTTTAGAGCGGAGGGTACGTACTTGGGTTTAAGATTGATCCAGTTGATAAGCTTCAGGATGCACTCAAGGAAATCAATTCCTTGCATAAGGTATACTCTGCCAACCCCATCTTTGGAGTGGACTACGAAATGGAAGAAAAGGTACACGCACAATATTTATAATCACTGACCCCGGATGCCTCAACAGTACAACACTGAAACCTGAACTATAAAAATACTCTGTCTATTTTTGAATAAACAGCTGTAACACTCCAATGAATATTCTTGAATACTATATTGTAGCTGACTTCTCCATCAGTTTTAGCCGATCACGTTGTCATAGTGCTGTTTGTCCTAACAATGATTTCAGCCCCAGCCGTTGGAAGAGCTCACAGTGGACCAGCCTCCTGATGATGTGGAAATTGAGCCTGATGAGCAGACTGATGCTTTCACGGTGAGTGTTTGCCACCCGTAACGCTCATCGCTCTTCTGGGAGTTAAAGGTTTAGTTTTCAGACTCTCAGAATAGCTGTTCGCTAATGCCTTTCAGCTTAATGAACAAACATGAATTTATGTTGCCTAGTACTCCTGTTTGTACAGAGTGGCACTCATCACACCACAATAGCCTGTTATGACAGTCAGACTGCCCTGGTTATTCTCATTCACCGTGTTCATTTCATGTGTTATGTGTGTTTGCTTACAGGCCTACTTTGCTGATGGCAATAAGGTAAATTCTCACAACAATAATTACAGTCATGAAGTTGTTGTTAACATGTTGTCGGAAACCTGATTTATTTGTTGTTGTTCCAAAGCATCAAGACCGCGAGCCAGTTTTCTCCGAGGACCTGGGCCTCGCCATTGAAAAGCTAAAGGATGGCTTTACGCTTCAAGGACTGTGGGAAGTGATGGGCTGAAACAACATTAAGCATGTGCATATTCTGTGTACATACTGTGCTGATAAAGACAACGAGTATATTTATATATAGGTCAGGTTAGAAGGTGGACAGTTTTGTATAGATACTTCTTCCTGTAAAGAAAGTACAACAATACATTAAATGTATGACATTTTTGTGGGTTAATTGTATAAAATATGTCCTTATAGTGAGCAGAATGTGGGAAAAATGCAGCTTTTATTGTTTAATATGAATAAATGTATTTAAATAGATGTTGTCGAGCACTTTTTTCAAACCTTTCATTCATACTTTATCAGTAGCTTCACACTGTATCTCATTTGTACTGTATGTGGAAAGAACACAGTGATCTCAGGCTTAACCCCAAGTATTTTAAAAATGTTAAAAGAGGACAAACTGTCACCTACTGAGGCGGCAGCTGTTCCCTGACCCTGTCGGCTCGCTGGATAACTCCCCTGTGAACGTCTCACACATAAATACTGACTCACTCACTGTTGGGAAGTGGTCATTACTATCAGTGAGTTGTGACTCATTCAACATGTAGATGTCACCAGAAGCTGTAGTAGATGCCAGCCACATGTGTAAATACAGAAAATGCGAGTTTAAAAAGTGTTGAAAGCTTTGCTGTCTATTGTAAAAGCAACGTGTTTCACTCTATTAGAAGGGAAAAAGTAAATCAAATGAAGAGATTGTGTTATCTGTGTGTGCCTGTACAACAATGTTGCTACTAATCACTGCTGTGACAAGGCTCCTCAGTTGTTTTTACTCTCTGACAGCTGTGTGAGCTCTCCGACTAGGCCAACCTGAATTCTTCATGGATGGGGTGGTCGGTTATATTTAGAGGGGCACAGTTATATTGAAGTGGCTTCAGACCTGGCAGACTATAGTTCTGTGTCTTCAGCAGCTAGGAGAGTCCATCCTGAACTGCCTCACTTCTCTCCACGTTCTGTCCTGAAAGAATGGATCCCCAAGGCCTGAGGGAAGATCTCCGTCTGTTTCAGAGCACTCTGCTGCAGGACGGACTCAAAGAGCTCCTGAATGAGAATAAGCTGATTGACTGTATCCTAAAGGTTGGAGACAGAAGCATTCCCTGCCACCGGCTCATTCTGGCAGCGTGCAGTCCTTACTTCCGGGAGCTGTTCTTCTCAGTGGAGGGCAAAGAAGACGACAAGAAGGAAGTTGTTCTGGAGAACCTTGAGCACAATATTTTGGAGGTGATTGTGAATTACATGTACTCCGCAGAGATTGACATCAATGACGACAATGTGCAGGACATTTTGGCTGTTGCCAATCGCTTCCAGATCCCCTCCGTGTTCACAGTCTGTGTGAACTATCTCCAGAAGAAGCTGTCCAGGAAAAGCTGCCTTGCCATCTACAGACTGGGACTGATGACGAACTGCACCAGACTGGCAGTGGCAGCTCGAGACTACGTGGCAGATCGCTTTGAGTCCGTAGCCCAGGATGAGGATTTCTTAGAGCTTGCTGCGCCTGAACTCTTTGCAATTATTGGAGCGGATGCACTGAACGTGGAGAAAGAAGAGGTGGTGTTTGAGACACTCATGAGGTGGATCAGAAAAGACAAAGACAAGAGAGTCAAATCACTGGAAGAGGCCCTTGATTGCATTCGTTTCCGTTTGCTCCCAGAGAAGTACTTCAAGGAGAAAGTGGAGAAAGATGACCTGATAAAGGCTGATCCTGAGGTTCTCAAAAAAATTAAAGTCATCAAGGATGCGTTTGCGGGGAAACTGCCTCCCAAGAAAAAGGGTAAAGATGGCGAGGAAGGAGAGGAGGACAAGCTGCCGGGGTATCTGAATGACACCCGCAGATATGGCATGTACGCCAAAGACATGGTGCTGATGATCAATGACACTGCTGCTGTGGCCTATGACGGCCAGGAGAATGAATGTTTTCTTGCAGCGATGGCCGAGCAAATCCCCCGAAACCACGTCAGCATGACATCAAAGAAGAACAATCTGTATGTGTTGGGAGGACTGTTTGTAGACGAGGAGGAGAAAGAAAACCCACTGCAGTGTTACTTCTACCAGGTAGAAAAGCCTTGTTTAACTTCTGTTACAGCATTAAAGCGAAGCCCTTCACTTTGATTTGACAACGTATCTCTAAAACATTGTTTTCAGTTGGACAGTCTTGCTGCTGAGTGGATGGCTCTGCCACCAATGCCCTCTCCCAGGTGTCTCTTCGCTATGGCTGAAGTTGAGAATCTCATCTTTGCTGTTGCAGGAAAAGATTTACAGTCCAATGAGTCTCACGACACGGTCATGTGCTACGATACTGAGTAAGTTCAACACACCTGAATGTGAATTCAGGGGATTGTTGCTGAGAGCACAGCCGTGTTAAACACATTCTGTCACTACATTTAGAAAAATGAAGTGGACGGAAGCAAAAAAGCTGCCCTTGAGAATCCACGGCCACTGTGTGGTCTCAGAGAACGGGCTGGTTTACTGTATCGGAGGAAAAACAGATGACAAGTAAGATTGCAATATAAAACATACTATTAAGGCAAAAATGTAATTTCCACATTTGATTAATCCTTCCTGGAAATCATTTTGTCTTTCTGGTAAAGTAAAGCAACCAATAAGATGTTCGCATACAACCACAAGAGGTCAGAGTGGAAGGAGGTGGCTTCTATGAAGACGCCCAGATCGATGTTCGGAGCAGTTATTCACAAAGGGAGGATCGTTGTCGCTGGGGGAGTCAATGAGGAAGGCCTGATAGCTGCCTGTGAAGCCTATGACTTTGGAACCAACAAGTACGTGCTGGTGTTGTGCAAACGTACAAGACTTTGGATACTATCTTTTTTTTTTTTTTTTTTTACCGAATGTTAGATTATCTGTTAGCATTTAGAGAATGTATGTCATGCTACAAAACAAACAATAAGCTATACAATGTGAGAAATTGTTATAATATTACTTTTCAAACATGACTTCTTTCAATATTTTAATGTTATTGACCTGCACAACCCATCCTTACAAGTTAACCATCGGTACAACCTAGTAGTTTCTGGGAATTTTTTTGCTCCTGTGATATTTTTTTACTCACTGTGGCCTCAGTTTATTTACTAAAATATAAAGTCCTGCACCTCTGTGGAAACATCACAGTCATAGATGCAAGTAGAGAGAACTCAAACATATGTTTTGTGCAGTATGACACAAAAACAAATGTTGAATAGCGTTGATTATCTATTTTTCTAAAATTGGCACATACAAGATTTTTCCAAGTGCCCTCAGTTGTTGCCAGTACTGGAAAAAATGTTGGGTTCTGATAAATGTAGAGAATTTAAAGATAATATGCGTCTCAAACTCATCGTGTGGGGTTTGGGATTCAGAGGGTTTAAGGCCTTGTGTGGATATGAGCTGTGTTTTTATGCTGCTTACTTATTAAGACTTTATGAAATCTTGAGGAGATGAAAGGCTTGAAAATCTCACATGAAAAAGCAAAAATGCTGGAAAAGTCGTGCTTTGTTATTCATTAAATTATCTTCTAATAGCCTTCTTTAACCCTCCTATTACCTTCAAATTTACTGAAATCTTTCGTCCTTGGGGTCAGTTTGACCCCAGCAATTTAAACCTCCTGAAAATTATCGTAATTATTATTTAGAGACATTAAACACTGAATGGGTTCAAACTGAAACCAAAAGATAATAGGAGGGATAAACTAATATTGTAGAATAAAGACTTGCAGAGTTCGTATTCAAACCAGAAACAGAGAACGCATGGCTTCCATTAATAAACCACCTTGTTGCAGGTGGACCCCATTTACCGAGTTTCCTCAGGAGAGGAGTTCAGTCAACCTGGTCAGCTGTGGAGGCCTGTTGTACGCCGTTGGAGGCTTTGCCATGGTGGAGAATGAGAACAAAGAGTGTGCACCCACTGAAGTCATCGACATTTGGCAGTATGTTTTCCTCTATGTTTTATTTGATGATGCATATGAATATTTTCTTAATATTTCTTAATAATGACGCCCTCTTCACCTGTGTACTTCACTCACATCTTTTGATTTTCTTACCAGGTATGAAGACGAAAAGAAAGAGTGGACTGGTATGATCAGAGAGATGCGTTATGCAGCAGGAGCCTCCTGCGTTTCTATGCGCCTGAATGCGGCCAAAATGCCCAAACTGTAATTGCATTTTCAAGGACATTCATATTACTGCTGTAGGACACACAATAATACGTACTATACAAGCTGTTATTTTGCAGCTCATTGTTTTCAGTATCATTCTAACACATCGGACACATCTCCTTTGCCTGCTCTGTTGGTTTTTGCTTTCAATTTTGTGACTTTATCAGGTCTTTGTTGTCTCATGTGTTCTGTAGCATATTTGAGAATTTCCCGTCACACTTATTAAAATGTATAGTATTAAAATATTAGCGACATTTTATCAGATTTTTGTGTTTTTACCACAGTTCATAAAATATTTGGAGGTCATTTAAGAAAAGTAATGTCTGCTAATTTTGATTTTTTTCAAAAATGTTTAATACAAAAGCACATAATGCACAATTTTTGCTCAACATGAACGAGGTAGATTCATGCCAACTTTATACTATAATAACAAAAAAGCAAGGAGCACTTTATGTATATTAACACATTGCATTCAAAACTCTGTTCAGTCACTCTGCCAAAACATTCTTCAAAACCAGGCTAATAGCTCAGCGCTGCAGGTAACTTTTCTGTCATTATTCTATAAATAACAGCTCGAAGGAGAAAGCTATCCGAATATTTTCTTCTTTAGATATTCCTGCCAGGCATCATGAGTGGAAAGCTCCATCGAGTTCCATTCAAAGTGAGGAATCTGTGACAACACAGACAACACATATTCAGAATCAGAATCAGAAACAGATTTATTGCCAGGTATAGTTTACACAACACAAGGAATTTGTTCTGGTGGGTTGGTGCAACAATAAATATAGAGTAAATATTGCGCCATTGTATGCCTTTTACCATATTGCTTGTATTTAATCGGGTATAATTACATTCAACATCATGCTCAATAAAGTTTTCTCACCTGAACAACACGATATCCCAGAATTTCGAGGTGTCGCTTTCTCATCAGGGTTTCACCTTTCATATGATGAGAATTTTTGCAGAAGAACCTTGAACTAAGAAATTCCACAGCAACACTGACAACAGCAAAAAAAAAAAACAACCCAAAAAACAGAATATCAGACATATTTCATTTCTGAGTGGTTTTGTTAATCATGTTTAATATTCAGGCTTTTTTCTGTATAGGGACACATTTAAATTCCTACCGCTGAGCTCCAGGTGGCAGCTCATCCCTGCCGTTTTCCAGTGAGTTCGTATCCCAGTGAGCCTCGCCTCTGTCTAACACCTGCAGTGTGTTCGACTCGCTGTAAGGCAACGGCCGTGAGTGTTTGTCCAGTTTGCATTCAAAGTCTGAAAAGACAAAGTCAAATGTGGCATAAAAAAAAAAAAAAAGTGCCTTGGTAAACAGATGTAATGTAATGTGGCCGTATGCGATGCCTGTGATTGCAAGTTATAAACTGAAATTAAAAGGTATAAACTTACTCGATACATTGCAAGTAGAGGAGCAGGAATTAAACGAACAAGGGTCTCGAAATTACTGACGTTGTGCCATTTTTGCCATTTATGTCTTTTTATCTGTATCATCATTGCTTGTGAGTAAAACTAAGCTTTTATTGATGCACGATTTATGCAGTATAGACGATTGTGATTGGTACCAACATGTGTGATGTTCTTGCATCATCATCGAAACATGGCAGTGCAATGCAAACTTCACTCAACTGAGAAAAAAATAAACTATCGTGATGTCAACTGTTGCAAAAAAAATAAAATAAATAAAATACAGAAGGCTGCTCCTAGTCCTCCACGGTGCTGAAAACAGACAACAGCAGCTACTGTTCATGTTTGCTTATTATCCATATTCTTGTTAATAGGAATAATGATTAATGCAACCTAAGCCAACACCTTTATAAATGTTGCATCTGTCCTTTCTAACTACTAAAAAGTGAGCTCAGCCAATAGTTCCCAACTGGTTAGAGCTAACCAATATATGAGCTGCTTTCCTCCTCAGGTGAAGACTTTTTTTTCAGACAAGAATAGGCAACGTCAGATTAAGTACCATGACTTACCTACAGTGTAGTAATATGGAGTGGTGACAGCTACTTGGACATAGTTAATTCCACCAAAAACGTCACCCAGAATTTTGTAGATTTGCTTTTGCACAGGACTGACAGCACTGTGCACTAAAAAAAAAAAAAAAAAAAAACATTTCAACAGGCAATTGATAGCATATACAGAGACTCCAGTTTCAAACTAAATTCAAACCCCACCTAGGCAGGAAAATTAGATCTCGATGCACCCTCTTACTTTTCCTTTGTAACTGCTGGCAGTAGCGCCCATGAAACCATGGCACCTGGAACTCGGGACACTCGAGACACACGGCGCGATTGAGCTCCATGAGGCGTTGTCGTGTCCGCATGCTGAGGGCCTCAGGGAGGGCTGGAAGAGGCAACATAAAACAGTGTGTACTTACAGTGCTTCCACCTATTTTTTAATAATCTATTTGAACCAACAGGGGGACATACTTTCTAACTGGGAATCCAGCTTTCCCAGAAAGTCGATGCTGAAGATTTCTCTGATTAGTTCTTCAGGAAATCTGTCAACTACTGCCAGGCAGGATGCCACGAGGACTAGCAGATGTGGCTCAAAGGAGCCTAGAAGAACATAAAATTGTGTCAGTGGAAGCTCAAAAAAGGAAAAAAATCTGAAACGTGACTACAGTCGTCCTCAAATGTATTCATACCCTCCCATTAAAGAAGAAAAAAAACAGCTGTCACTGAAATAAGTTGAAATTGACAAAAGAAATAATTAATAAAAATGTAATAAAAATCATGACATTGCTTTGGAATTGTGGTTCAACAGAAATATTGAATAAAAACAAAAAAAAGACACACAAGCAAACAAGCATGATGGGACCCGTAAACTAATATTTTGTTGAACAACCCTTTGAGCCAATCACTGCAATCAAGTGTTTTCTGTAACTCACAATCAGACTTCTGCACCTGTTGACAGGGATTTTGGCCCACTGCTCATCAGCAAAGTGCTCTAATTTGTTCGGGACAGTTTTGTTTTTTTAAATTATTCTTTTCAACCACAATTCAAAAGCAATGTCTTATTTCACTAAATTATAATTTAACTTTTTTTTTTAAATTTATCATTATTTTTTTCAGTTTCTAGTTATTTGACTGACTATTGCGAACTATGCCTTCTCTTTAATGGAAGGGTATGAATAAATATGAGGACGACTGTATATACTTACTGATGTGAGGAGTGAGGCGCTTAATACAAACATTGAACACCTCGTCTGCCTGCACAGGATCGTAGTTCAGGACAGAAAAGGATAGCATGATGCCATATATTGCTGCGGGGTGAATCTTAAAAATAAGAAAAACACAGTTAATGAAACTTTAGTCATTCCAGTCACAACATGTTGTGATGTCTCTTAAAGCACCTTGTCAATGTGTTCTATGGTCACACTGGCGATTCGGTCCATCAGAGGGGGGCACAGGTGATTTGTCCTGGCTATGAAGAGGGAAAGCTCGGGCACATTGCTCCAGTTTATCTGGTCCATCATCCTCTGCAGCATGGCCATTGTCTCTTCGAGCAGCATCTCCTCGAACCAGTCCCCTGTCATGAACTTGAGCTCCTCAAGCACCAAGTCGAGCCGGTCGGCCGTCTGCAGCCTCTGGTGGCCGCAGCGGTTCAGCGTCTGTAGCACATGGTCGTACTTGCTGTGAGTGTTGAGCTGGTAGGATGGATCGTTCCGTATCCACTTGGCGACGGACAAAGAAACGGTGTTGAGGTCGCTGAGTCTGCACTGCTCCACCATAGCATCCACCCGGGAGATCGTGACCTCTTCAAGTAGCGGGCCGGGAACTAAGGCAAGTACACGAGTCAGTATGGTCACTTCGTAGGGAAGGAAGCTGCGCTGCAAAGAGCTGAGAGATAAAGGGTTATCAGTCGACTTTTTATTTAAGAAAACCGTAAAGCAACAATTTCTCCTTCAGTAAACACTTACTTGACCAAAACCTTTCTCAGTTTACTGAAGAGTTCGGGGTTGTAATAATACATCTGGTAAAGGGCTTGGGTGATTCTGGCCAGGTCCACTGGCCTGTAGACATGAAGGTTCCTTTGGATGACTGATGCAACTCTGGAAAAGGATTTAAGCAGAAATAAGTGCATTTTACAAAATATCTAACAGATGTTTTTGAAAAATCTGTGAGGAATTGCATTAAGTTACACAACAACATTCTGATGAGGATCCTTTTAATTGGACTCTTCACAGAAATGTGAACACGATATAACCTGACATTGTTTTTAAGGACACACAGGGAAAGGTTTTTAGGGGTTAAATCAATTACTGAGGAGGGGCTTTAAATAAATGTACCTTGCAATGAGATCTTGTCAACTGCCGTTTTCCAATTCAAGGGAAAACATTTCATCTCAATCTCACACATGGTTGTTTTTTGGAATTCTACGCTGCAATGCTAATGGACATATGGCTGGATTACTGTAATGTGTTGACTTTTCAGCTAGCATAAATTATAATGTGGATCTAATTCCATTAAGCTGATTGGTGACTGGCCACCAGTCCAGGGTGTCCCCTGCCTTCGCCCTAAGTCAGCTGGGATAGGCACCAGCGCCCCCGCGACCCTAGTAAGGATTAAGCGGTGTATAGATGATGGATGGATGGATGGATGGATGATTTTGGTCTGTACATTTGCTCCTTGACTTAAGTGATGTTGGTGCTTTATGACAGAGACATGAACTCACTTGTTCAGCAAACTCAAGTTCTTGCTCTGAATCTGTTCTAGAGCTTCAGCAAAAACAAAAGCCTGGTGTGCACTGAACTCATCTGCCAACAGGAGGGCAGTGTTCTCCATTCTGAGAGGAAAGAAACCACAGATTAGTGGGCCTCAAGATAAATTTTCACTCACATATAACTCTACTGATAATAACACAAACCTTTCTCTGATCGGGGGACTGGCCATGGGAGCCAGATTAACAAACAGCTTAGTGAAGGAGAAGGAATCAGTGGTTGAATCAATCAGTTCAGTCAGCCTTTGTTTGGCAGCCAGCTTGAATTCGTAGCTGTTGAACTGCAGCGACTGGTACAGGCCAAAGACGATGTGGATGTTCTCTACATCCATAGTGGGAATGCAGCTCAAAATGATCTTGTTGCACTTCTCCAGAATAGGTCGGTGAAGGTACTTCATGTTGCGCAAAAACTGCACTATTCTCCGTGCAGTATTGAACTCTGAATGACCCATGTTGTCCAGGAGTTGATCCACTTTGCTGATGAGAGCATCCCGCAGCTGGGGAGACACCAGCGGCGATATGCTGATCATCAGAGCAGACAGGGCTCTGGAAAAACAGTGTTAGACACAGTTAATACACAACATGACATACTTCTAGGCAAAAGATATTCTAACCGATCTGTCTCATGACCAACCTGGAATCATCAATAGACGGCAGCTTCTGATCGACGATGCTGGTGATGTGGCCCATTAGAGGGCTGTGGGAAAGGTGCATATCATTTAAACAGATAGCGAACTTGGATAGACAGCTCATTGGAAGTCTGTAAAGAGGCACATTTGTGTAAAATCTTGTTAGTCTTTAAGTTCTTCAGCAATTACTTCTGAGTGGACAGAAAATCACACAATTGTGATATTGATTTATCTTATAAGGGTTTAAACAAGCACAAATACCAAACACATGCTGCTTGCAGCTTCTGTAATGTAGAGATTTGCTGCTTTCTATATTTCTTGGGGCTTAAGAGTTAAAAACATTACCCTTATAACCCAGGATTTTTTTTTCCATTTAATTCTCTGACATTTTATTCACAAAATGATAACATAATTATTTCATTAACTCAAAAATCTGTAATGCAGCCATACCTGTCTATTCTTAGCCATGCTTCTGAAACCAGCTGCTGAAAGACGGAGTCTTGTCGCTCCAGATCCAGCCTGCAAGGGACAACAACACCACATTACAATAACATAATTCCAATTCATGGTCTTTTACTGACTGTGTGAACTGCTGTACCTCATGAAATCGTAAAGCATGTTGATCAACATGAAATCATCCATATGTGCAATTTTGTTTTCTGCCAGAACCCGAAGAGTCAAGAACTGTGGGTGAGTCCTTGTGAGGTCGAGGTTCCGGAGCAGCTCAGGTTTCTCCTTGTGAAACTGCCACAGCAGCCCCACAGCACAGCTCACATGGTCCACTGTGAGCTTGGCCTTGTTCTTGCCCACCACATCAAAAAGTTGGTCTTCGGCTACGCAAACCTGCAGCTGCTCCAGAACCTGGTCTCTGTTGACTGTCCCTACATGAAGGAGCCTGCGGAAGCAGGAGTTCAGAGATCGGAGGCGAAACATCACCACAGACCTCTCGGCTCAGGTTAACTATGCACTGAGGTCTTCATTGCACCAGCGTCCACTGCCAACTTCGATGTCAACTGACAGGCTGCCTCAGTCAGCTGGGGTCACGACCATAAAATTACAGTCTGAAGGTAGTAGACACGAGGTGCTCCTTTAGGGATCTGTCAACTGAAGTAAAAAAAAAAAAAAAAAACACACACACACACAAAATAGAAACAGCTGAAACAGTTTTGTCCTGTAGTAAAAGGTTTTATATTGCACCTGGTTAGACTATGTTCAAAAGCTCGCACTTGCATGAAACTGACAGCTCACATCTGTCAGGAAAGCAGCACAGACATAGACCCACTCAGAGATATGACTTTCTGTTAGTGTAACACTGAGCTGGAGTTAGCTGCCTGCTGCTATGCTCTGTGCCTTAACACGATGTTCACGTGGATACAGAAACAATCACCTAAAACGACCGACAATCTCGGACTATCGCTGCCTGCTGTATTCTCGGCTAGATATATACATATTATAGAGATTTCTGCGTTATAAATCTCACACAAACAGAATGCGTCATTAAATTCGTTCAAAGTCAACATTACCTAGCATGCGTGCTGCTAAGTTTCCCTTCCGTAGCCGGTGACATAATGACGGTGGCACTCTGAGCCCTGAGCTTCGCCTTACAGGCAGCAGCTAATGCAGATCGATGGAGTTAATAATGACATATGATATTTACGAGGGGTCCATTAAAGTGTTTTTCCTGTTAAAATACCATATCAGTGAACCTTCTTTACCACTCGGACAATATACATTTTGCACAGGGCTTCTACAACACGTTGCTACGGTGCGAAACAATAAGGGAACAAACGTCGTAACTATTTGCAATGACATGGAACACTAATGGTACGAAATGTTCAAGTATCTAAATCTGTCTCATTACTTGAATGTTGAAAGCGACTTGTACTCATCGCCATACAGACTAACATCAGTTAAATGAACGATTCAGGCAGCCTGAGGGTCCTTGTACCTGCCAGGACAGATTCCGGGAACAAGTTCTACCTCCTTCCACTGGCGCACGACCCTTGAAATACATTGACGTCCCCGCCGCGCCATCTTTAGAAAACACTGAGCCCAACACTGAATGAAACTTGGTTTTCGTCGTTTGTGAGAGCTGCTCGCTGCATGGAGTGATACCCCTGCTTTTACAGGTGATGCGTTTTCACATTATCTACGTCTTAGCGGCGTGTGCTTGCTTTATATGTTGAAATTGTACGGTTTACATCATGTGGAAAGATCCCCTTACAAGTCTGGCTGTGGCTAACGTTAGGAGAAATTGCTAATGCTAACGCTCGGCCTACCGTTAAAATAGATAAATGGGTGACCGTGTGTCTGTATGAAGCAGCAACGTCAAGATGCAGATAATCGAGCGTGTAAACGCCGACAGACGTAATTCTCATGCATAGGACGTATCTCTGCAGTCGGCTCAACAGGTCAAGTGAGAGTTTAAACGCGCCGCTAGTTAGCCAAAGCTAGCTGGAGAATCACTAAACAACCGAACGTAAAGTAGCATAATTTCCCGGGAATCCAGCTGTCGTTGCAGCGGTAATTGTCTCTAGTTAACCTCTGTGTGTTTTTTAAATTTTGATATCGTGTAGGCGAGCAGCAGTGATTGTTTTCCTCTAATAGTCTTCTACAGCATTTTAAAGAAGTCATCCAGCTGCTTGCAGGAGCTCATTTTGGTTTCGAGGTACACTTCAACAGCGTTACAGGTGCTGTGCCAAAAAGTGATCACTGTCGTTACAGCAATTATCCTGATGTCTCTACATTACTTTACCTGTTCTGCGCCTCAGGTTAAAACTGATCTGGTTTTCCAGTTTCGCTTTTCCATAGTTCACTTTAAAGGACCAATTCAATGAACTTAATGCAGTCTTTCACTTGAAAGGGAAAAAGGGATAGCAGCCCCTACACTGTGACTGAAATGTTATTAATGCATCAAAATGATGTGACTTTATTCTCAAGGGTTGCGAGTTCAAGGTTATAACCCATTTGTTATATACTCTATACATCTGCAAATTATATTATTGACAGTCTTGTTTCCAAACACAAACAAGGATATTCAAACACAGCATCAGGCTTGATTACACTATAAATACGAAATATGTTAAAGTTTCACAAAGACATGCCTTTGCTATCACCACAGATAAAAAGTTATGTGTATGTTGTGACTGTTGGACCCAGGAAAAAAACAGATGGAGATGTACATAAATTAGACAATAACCTGTTTTTGGCAGACGATCACATTTTGGAACAATAGTTGTGGGTTATTACTGACCCAACGCCGGTACTTCAGTTGTCGCTTATCCTTCTGTCTTATCTGTGATTCTCACCTTCAGGTGTTTTAATAGATCATGGGGATCAAGGTTCAGCGCCCTCGCTGCTTCCTTGACATTGGAATCAGTAATGTGCTTGGTAAGAATTACATCTCCACTTTATGTTTGTTGTATATTAACTGACTGGTTATTAGGTAAACATTTCCAACACTAATACAGTCCCTACAATATATCCTACACTTGATGAAAGTTTAAGAGTCGCTATTGGTTGAAACTGTGTTATAGAGATGTTTGTTTACAATATGATCATTTGGAAGGTGTAGTTTGTGATGCTGCTTAACTGTGCACTTTCTATGTATACAGTATTAAAAACACATGTCAGTAAAACATAGTACAATACAGCACCATAAACTAGAGCCTTTCAAAATGACCATAAACCTCTGTAATTAGTTCAACAAAGAGTGAACATTGTAACCTTCATGTGAGAAGGATTTATTGTGGGGCTGTCGTATAAATTGTATTTGTTTTAGTTGGTGTGGACCTAACAATACAATAAATGAGCGTGGTGTCGCATCAGTTGAAACAAGTAAATTCTAAATTATTCTTCGTTGTCTCTTCGCAGTCGGTAGAGTTGTGGTGGAGTTGTTTGCAGACATCTGTCCTAAAACCTGTGAAAACTTCAGGTGCCTCTGCACAGGTGAATGAATAATCTCCTTAACATTGTGTCACAATTTGTTTTAGTTCATGGAGTTCATTATTAGTAAGCACTGCTGTTTTATCCAGGTGAGAAAGGCGTCGGCAAAGGAACTCAGAAACCCCTGCACTACAAAGGATGCCTTTTCCATCGAATTGTAAAAGACTTCATGATTCAGGGAGGAGACTTCAGTGAAGGTGAGTTTAAAAAAAAAAAAAAAAAGCTTCTAAATAGTGCACTTGGCTTTGAACGCTTATTTGTGTCCAGATGTGACCAATTCAACAAGTGCAAGTACACAGTTACAGCAAGTTTCTCTCCATTAGTAGAGTCACTTTCGTCAGTTTTTCTATATATGTTGTTATACATGGTGTTGACTGCATCAATGTGTCAGAGTATCAGCATATTAGATAACAAATAACTGAAATCTATCCAAATAACCAGCCATCTACAGAATATGTATAATGCTATAAATGTCCTCTGGGAAACAGCCTCTTATGTTCGATGTGTTCTTTGACATCACAGGTAATGGAAGAGGAGGCGAATCCATCTATGGAGGCTTTTTTGAAGGTAAAGAAGCCACTGTCAGACCTGTCAGTTGTTATCCAAACCGACGTTGGCTTCAAGATGGCAGTACAATCTTATCCTTTTCCCCCAGATGAAAGCTTTGCTGTTAAACACAACAAGGAGTACCTGCTGTCTATGGCCAATAGGGGCAAAGATACAAATGGATCACAGTTTTTCATGTAAGCATCGTCTGTAGCTGCATCTTATTCATTTCACGTAGATGTAGTTGTGTTATTGGCCATAACTAAGCTTTGCAAGTGACTGTATGCCTTTTTTCTTGAATGGCCCGCGGTGATGCTACAGAACAACAAAACCCTCACCACATCTGGATGGGTAAGTGCTGCTTGATTGTATCTGAAATTCTAATTGATTGCATAGTGCTCAGTGCACACAATGTGGCTGTAACTAGACCCTAATGCGACTGTGTGTCTTTCACAGTGTCCATGTGGTTTTTGGTCATGTGATCTCTGGCCAAGAGGTTGTTCAAACTATGGAGAACCAGAAAACTGATCATAACAGCAGACCATACGCTGAGGTGAAAGTTTTGAACTGTGGAGAGCTCGTCCCGAAATCTAAAGGTTTGTTACTGTAAAAATAAAAATAAAAATCATTTTCAGTATTTTCAGAAAGAGTTTGAAACTTTAACGTACTGCTTATATTACTCTTTACATTCTTGCAGCAAAGAAAGATGCAAAAAAGAAAGAGAGGGCCTCCTCCAGCTCCAGCAGGAGCTCGAGTGACTCTAAGAGCTCCTCGGAATCATCTTCAGACTCTGAAGAATCGGAAAAAGAATCTAAGAAGCGGAAGAAGAAGGCAAAAAAGCTAAAAAAGAAACAGAAGAAGAAGGAGAAGAAAATGTACCTAATTTATTTTCACATATTGGCTTTCTGCTGTGTAAACAGTATCTAGTGTCTCAAATCTGAGCTGTAATATATTCACAGGTCCGAACCTGAAAGTGCCGAAGAGAAAGAACAAGAAGAGTTGGTTACCTCTACCGTTCGTCCTGAAGAAATACCGCCCATCCCTGAGAATCGATTCCTAATGAGGAGAAGTCCCCAGGCAATCCAGAAGTCAAAAGAAGAGGTTGAAAAGGATCAGAGAAATAAAGAGGAAAGGCCAAGAGACAGGTTAGCATGTTTTATAAACAGCCATTATGACTAGCGTCCAACATAATGTCGTCGGCTGTTCATTTTCATGCCTTGTTTGTTTCTTCCTCTGCAGTACTGGCATAACCTATAATTCTCAATCATCATATCACCGAAGACTAGTGATGACTCGATCTGGCAGGAAAATTAAAGGCAGGGGTCCACGGGTAGGTGCACTGCAGCTGTAATGTACAAATGTTGTCCTCCTAGTCACAGTTCATACCCTGACCCTAAGTCATGCTAACAAATTACCAGTATTAAAAGCAATAGCAATACTAGAGTGAGGCTTCGTTCATTTGCATTTTTGTATAAAGATAAGTTATTTTTGTTTCCCCCATTCCAGAGATACCGGACTCCATCACGCTCTCGTTCAAGGTCTAGAGATCGTTTCCGGCGCAGTGAAACTCCTCCACACTGGCGTCAGGAAATGCAGCGTCAGAGGATGAGGGCAGTCACAGGGGAGCGTTGGATCAAGGGTGACAGGTAAGATTATGTCACCTGCTCTGTATTAGTGTCTAAAGTTGACAATGTAAGTTGCAACCAAATTGCGATTGAGTTTGGACAGACACAAACTAGTACAGTGTGGAGCTTATGAGCCGGACAATGTGGAATATAATATAATTTACTTTAATGTCGTTGTAGGTATGTCCGTTTTGGAAATCATACTACAGATTTGTGAATGATAAATGTGATGTATAAAATATAAGGTGATACAAAATAAAATAATGTAAATGTACTCTGAGTGGCTGTAGCCTCATTTGAATCTGTACTGACAAGTACTAACACGCCTACAGCAGGCCTTGCAGCAATCAAGTGTTTTTTTATAAAACAAAAGTTTCTGGGTGACATAACAAAAATGTTAAAATGTTTTTTGAATTTTTGAGTGTGTGATATTAGCATAGTATTCATTTTTTTCTACTCTGCACCGTTTTTTGCAGGAGTGAAATGAATGAGTCCAAGGACGAACCAGCTAAGCGGCTCTCTCCAAAAAGAGAGAGACGGAGCTCGGCCACAAAGCATGAACACACAGCAGAGGGTAAAAAAGATAAGAAAACTCGGTCCCACAGATCTAAAAGCAAAGACGAGAACACCGAGGAAAAGGATGAGAAGCATAGCAAACACAAGGCAAAGAAAAGGGATAAATCTCATAGCCGCAGCAAAAGCCGAGAAAAGAGCAGAAGGTCAAAAAGCAGAGATCGGAGTCACAAGCAGAAAAATGACGACAGAAGAGGTCGCTCAAGGAGCAAAGACAGAAGTGTTAGTAAGAAAGAAAAGGAGTCCGAATCTGATCACAATAAAGATAGAAATAAAGGTAACGAATCTGATAAAAAGCATAAAGAAGACACAAAAGGAAGAAATGGTGAGAGAACAAGGACAAAGTCAACAAGCAAGGAGAGAGCAAGTGCTAAAGATGAGCACAGGTCAAGTAGCAGAAACAGGGACAGAAGTGAACCTGCAGCATCAAAAGATAAAGAAGAAAAAAGAGATAAAGACAGAGAGAGGGGCAGAGAACGCAGCAGGAGTCAGGAGAGACGACACAACAGTGAAAGGGAGAATAAGAGACGAGGAACGTCCAGGGATAAGGAACGTCGGACGAGAAGTCCGGACCGAAATAAGACCAGAGACTCGCACAGAGGCAGGCGCTCCAGAAGCAAGAGCGATAGGAGAGACCACAGCAAAGACCGATCCTCTCATAGAAAGGACAGAGACAGAGAAACTGGCGGCCAAAGGAGGAGACATAGCAGCAGCTCTGAGAGTGACAGAGAAGAAAAAAGAAAGAGTCAACGGAGCCCCGACTCCAAAAGAAGAGCAAATAGTGCTTCCAAATCCAAAGACAGAAGAAGCCCAGCCAGACCTAGGCCAGATAGTACGAAAGGCAAAGATAAAAGTGATGGCAAGAGGAATCAGTCCAGCTCCAGCTCCAGCTCTGACAGCGACTGAGCTTCTGACAGTCCTCGTTGAGTGCAGGAAAAAAACAAAACGACACAGTTCTGCCAAAGCTGACATGATGGCACAGGTGTGTCAAAGCTAATTTCCAAGCTGTTAAATTACAGTTGATAGAACTTCCTGAGAAAAGGCCTAAAAATGAAGGGTAAACATTTTCTAATTACAGACTCTGTAGCATCATGTGAGCTTTAGCTGAACTGTGGACTTCATGGCGGTTGTGCATAAACACTGTTGATGGGTAGCTGAAGCTCTAAGGCCAGTTTAAGAGGAGGATTTGTGACTGGATCTCAGTGTGTGCTGCATTAGCGGGACTGTACAGGTGTTCTTTTTATTTCCTGTGACCAGAGAAAGTCAGACTGAAGGCTGTTTTCTTTTTAAAACATCTTTGAATTGTTTGGTAAATTATATTTTGGCTTTACAGTAGCTCTGATCTCAGACTGTTTACAAAAAAAGAGGAAAAGAGAAAAAAAAAAAGATTTTATTGGTACCATCTCCATCAACAAGATATTTTTACTACAATAATGTTTTGCATGCTTATCTCTGACACAGTTTGACAAAATATGTACCCCTTTGACTTTTTTTTTTTTTTTTTACACATCCATAAACATTTTACTGTAATCCTGTTTACCAGTTTTGTTCTGAGAAATGTCAATGTCATACTGTAAGTACAACATAAAACCAATTTGTATGAATTCTGTTTTGTGCAAGATGGTCTTAAGAACACAGCCGGAGTGCAGAAGGAATTAAAAGCCTCAGTTTGATTTTAATCCGTTTGTTTTTAATATTTTTTTAAATGCTTTCACAATCACATACTTCTTTTCCAGTTCCAGACATTTACAGTCAAAGCTACAGTAATAAACACTGAACACATTCTCACAGGAATATGTATTGTCAGTATTTTGACGTCTAGTGCTCTGATTGGTAGTGAAGTCATTGAGAAGTTGTGTGGTTGCAGTGTTTTGTTGAAGTTTAGCTCAGATTATTGTGTGATTAATTTCAAACAAGTCTGGGCATATAATTGGGTGACTGATATGTTTCTTCCAGGGCCAATGCAGCTGCTTTTTTTGGAACTGATATAAATTTGCTGTAAAAATGAAAATCGTGGTGTCAACACTTAGCTAAAATGCTATTGTTTATGTAGGTTATACATACTTTGAAGTAGAAGACGTTTTCAGTGCTTATCCTCAAATGTTGATAGGTTGTTAGTTGGGATGTGTAACCAATCAGATGACACTACCACAGAGAGGTAGCTGCATCAGAGCACTTTTTTAAATTATTTAATCAGGAATCAGTTTTAAAAAGAAACCAGTGGTGCCAGTTATTGCAGAAATGCTGAAAATCATCTTTATTTATTTTTGGGGTCCAGTAGTAGTGTCTAGGGTGGACTGAAACATTTAGCGCTTTCAAAGACGATTAATTTAGAGGCAACATTCTTGCAGCCAACCTCTGCCGGCTGAGAACAAACCATCACCATGTGAACCCAAGCCTCTTCTTTGCTTCCAGTATATCTACGACCTCATTCAACTTTTTCATGTTCTCAGTGGTGCCACAGACATATTTCGGCATCTGAGCACCGGTGCGGTCCTGAACCAGGTAGCTCGGCCTGACCCCCTGAAAGACTGGACCGTGCCCTCCTCCGATTCCTTCCCTTGCAGCTTTGCAAAGCGGAAACAGATTTCCCTGAGCTGCAGCTGCTGCGCTGATGACCTCCTGTGAATATTGCTGAAACCTGTTCTCCTCTTCAGCCACGAGTTCTGCGTTCTTCGCTTCAGTCCGGCGCTCCTCTTCTTTCAGCTGCTGTTCCCTGGCACTTTTCTCAGCCTGTATTTAGTAGATGAAAGACAAAGAGAACAAGGCTCATCGTTACCCAAAATTGTTCACTTTTGAAATGATTTGTCAGAAATTTCCATCATTACCATTTGTGTGACGTTGAAGTCTTGTAGTTTTCTTTCCTCTTCTCTGATTTTCTTCGCCTTCAATTGTTGTTTCTCAGAAAATATTTTGTCGGACTCTTTTATCGCCTGCAGTGCATCTCGGGTGCTCTGTTCTGCTATTTTCTTCCTCTGCTCTTTTTCTTGTCTCTGGTGAAACACAGTCGATATTACAGGTGTGTTAACATTTTGTAAGCTGCAGTTGCAGAAAAGAGGTAAAATTCTAATAGATATTTGGACCCACAGTGTAGAAACATCATTTAAAGCACAGAGGAAACGTATTGAGGCTTTCGTGTCATTGTAAGAGTAGCTTATAAAGTGTTACCATGGATTCTCTGTGGGCAGCGATGGACTTCAACATCTCCGCCTTCCTCTCCTCCTCCTCCTGCTGCTGTTGCGCCTGTTTTGCATCCCGCTCAGCGACAGCCTTCACGATCCTCTCCTCCTCGCTGACAGCTTCCTCCTGCTGCTTCACCGTGAGTCTGTTCATGATCCTTTCTCTGCGCATCTGTGCTTCCCTTCAGAATAAAATAACTGTGGCTATGATAACAGTGCCAAGAAGACGAAATCTATTGTTTTGCTGAGTCTTACCTAAACAGGTCTTTTTCTTTTTCGTTACGTAACTTCATCATTTTTTGTTTGGCAGAGAGAAAAAGTTCCCTTTGCTTCTCCTCAGCCTCCTGTTTTTGTGCATCTATTGCTCTTGTGAGGTCTCTGTTGGCGAGATGCTCCTGCAAATACACAGAATGCTCGAGAGACTTACTGTGTTAGACACTAATGCTTGATAACCCATGCTGACAGGACCCTACCAGGTGAGCTTGCATAAGGTTTCTCTTGTCATTTGCTTGTCTTTCTGACTCCATTCTTTGCTCCCACTGATAGAGCTCCTGAAGACGCTGAATTTCTTTTTCGTCCTTCTTGTTCTCCAGCTTCTGTTGCTCTTTCACAAGTTCTTTTTCCTTAATTCTAAAGAAAATGAATAATATGTCCTCATGTAAAACTGTAGGTTTTTGTCAAATTCTCACTTAAAAGTTTTACCACATAACAAACAAAACACACCAATATATCAGCTAAGTGACACAACCGTTTAAAGTTAGTTGATGAGTCTTACTGGTGTTTCAGGTCCTCTGCAGCAGCTCGTCTCTCAAGCTTCTTCTGCAGTGATTTCTCCCGCTCCTGTCTCAAGGCTTCATCCTCTCGGCTCTTTACCATTTCCACGTATTCTTTGTCCACGTCTTTCGTTGCACTCTTCTTTCTTTGCTGCAGCTCAATCTGAGCCTCCCTCTCCTTCAGCACCTCCGTCAGCTGGAGTGCCCGCTGTAGAAGTAGTAGTAAGCATTTCTTATCCTACATTGTAATACAATATATGCAACAGTAATGCTCAAGCAATACTAACATGCAATCCTTTAACCCGGTCAGTTTGATAATACTGCATAGTCTTTGTTCTTTCGATGGCCTCTTTCCGCTTCTGCGCCTTGTATTTGGCTTCTTCAATATCCATCTGTTTCCTTTTCTCCTCCTCAATCTGCTCTCGAATCTTCTTTGCCTCCAGCTTCTTTCGCCTTATATTCTGTGGTGGATGTGCAATGTGTTAAAATTCTGCTTTTGTGTGTGTGTATTCTGCTCTTTGCAACCTAACAGGCACATCAGATTTATTTAAGGCAAATAAAATCCGATATCAGGGAACTTACAGTGATGGAATTGGGCCACAGTTTCACCTCCTCTTTTGACTGCTGGTGCAGAGCTTCTCTCTCTTCAGCTGCTTCTCTCAAACGCTCCCTTTCTTTTTTAACCTGGTTTGGTTGATCTCGAATCCTTCGCCATTCAGCCTTACTCAACACAGTGACTTGACGAAGGTCTGGCGGCTGGATTGTTGTAATAGTTTGCTCCATTGGCGCTTAAAAAAGAACAAACATTACAATTAGAACACCTCATGTAAACTGACCCCTAAAGAAGAATTTTCAACATGCAACAGCAGTTTGTGCAACTTGGGTAGTTTAGAACGATCCAGATGAACTATATAAAATAAAATTGCACATGTAATAACTTTCTGCAGGATGCTATAAAATGCATTTTCATTTCTTGCTTGCTGGATCAGTTGTTGTTTGGAACAGTTGCTGTGTGCCAAACAAATGCTGATGTGTATTTATAGTAGCTGGGTCACTGACGTCAAGTGTTTTGTATTGTTTATGGGAAATGTATTATTTTAAGAACTTGGGAAGCTGCTTAAATTCTGTAATTACAAGTGACTTTGACTGGAAGAGCAAATATATTAAGTAATATTAATTACTGAGCTATTGCTTTTCAACTTAAATAAATTATGACCTCCCCTGTCATTTCCCATACAGTGAACAGGATCTTATTCAGTGTATGTGACCACCTCATAAGTGTAATACCTTCTTTGTTTTTATTTTATTTTTTCTTTATTTAAGCTTGTGTCTGAGTTGACACTATTACACAAATACATATAATCATCAATCACAGTGTTTGCTACTATTGTTTTGTGGTACTGTACTGTCACCAGATAATGTGTTGCATTTCAGATGATTATAAAATTGTTAATAGAATTATTAATAGCAACAAGAATGAAATATTGTAAAAGGGGCACATTTTTTCTCCTCTATAATTATGTCTTTGAATTGTGGAGAAGAGTTTAAAACAGCATTTACAGAAAATATAAGTGAGAGATTACATATAATGGATGAAGAAACACTGTGTTTTAGGTGTGGCTTATCAGAAATGATTTGGACTCAGTAATTCTCAAATCCTGGCTATGGCTTGTATCTTCAATGAAATAACCTATTGACATTATACACACGACACTGTAACACCCCAGTTGTCAAATATACTAACATTATACACAAGTTATTATTTTCATTATTTTGTTGTGTTTTTTTTTTTTCAAATGTATCTACTCTGACATTGTTCTAAGTTATGATATCTTTATACACTCATTGGTAACGTTACAGAATTTCAAAAATACTTAAGACAACTTTTTCAGCATAATGCTAATAGCTAAAGCAGCTATATCGATTAAGCTAAACCTCAAACTGCAGCTTTTACCACTTTTACTGGATCCTTTCCGGCTGGGCTGAACCGCTGATGCCATTTGTATGAGATGTAGTCACTACTAGGTCAAGAAAAATAAATAATGTCTAATTAAACTGTTGATAGCGGATATTTTTTACTGTAATTAGCCACCGTTAGTCCGACTACAAACAGCTGAACTGGAGCTTACGTTTGTTGCGTGGTATCCAGGCAACGGCGGAGCCAATCAGAAGCATTTCCTCTGATTACCGGCAGGCGACGCTGTGTTCTCTTAAATTCAGTCATCTGTCAATGTGACACGTCAGTTAAAAACAAAAAGGTTTTTTTTCTCCCTCTTTCTTGGCGTCCATGTCCAGGCTGTGAGCTGAGCGATATGTCAAATAGGGCAACAAATCTGCCAGAATGCTTTTATATTTATAGAAATATTAATGCTTTCGTTTGCAATGCAACAAAGCCAGTGTATTACAATGCAAATAAGTCATCTTAAAGCACATGGAAATAGTAGAAGAGGTTCAGGATTCAGTGCAGATCAAAAGACTGGTGCCACCTTTTAAATATTTTGAAGTTTAATTGGATTTCAAGCAGATTATTCACCGTTAATTTGTAATTAAACTGATCTGTGTTGAATTTAGGATGTATGTAATATACATGTGAAAATATGCCGGGGGAGTTTTTGCACATCCTGGCGAGTTACAGTTTACATCCTCCCCTCAGCTGATGTTGCTGCGGCCTGTGAGCTCATCCATAGTTCAGTGTCCCAGCTGCAAACATCACACCCTCTGATCGTCATCTCAGGAGACTTTAATCATGCATCGCTCTCTACCACTCTCCCCACATTCAGCCAGTATGTGGACTGCCCAACCAGAGACGGTGGAGCCTTGGACCTGCTGTGTGTGGACACCAGGATGCATATTACTTATTGTTGTTTTCTTGTACTTTCTATATTTTTGGATGCTGCTGTGGCGTGTGAATTTGCCCCAATGGGGGAGCAATAAAAAAGTATTCTATTCCAAAAAAGAAAAGCACACAAATATAACATTTGTACTTTGGGTTTGTTCTCATAGTTTAATCGTAGCAACTGGACAAACCATAACCTGGATGACTGAGAATCTTCACAGACACTTTGGGTTTGAAATATATCTTTTGTGACACCAGTCCAGGAACTTTTCCGATACACCTCATGTATTTGAAACAATACATTTGTGTGTATTGCATTTAAACTTATCTAAATGTTTCCCTCTAACTTGTGTTGAATTAATACAAAGCTACTTAAATAGTAAATTGACTGAAATCCTTGTGTTGCTTCCAAAACTGGTTCTCTACCAGAGACTTGAGGCTTTGACTACGAGGCAGGATTTGGATTCATCAAAGGTTGCTTCAAGGTTTAACTCTTAGTTTTTGGTGCTACAACAGTGGTTCACTTCACCAGAGAATCACATGCTGAATGCCTAACCTGCCACATTTTACTAATACAGAAACTGATTAAATTCTACAGTCTGAGAGCAAGACTTGTTTCTGTTATTATGTTTCTATATTTGTTCTTTGCTGACTCTAAAACACCACAAGGGTTGCAGCTGAAGGAATACATCTAAAATGGTCTTTTATGCTATATACAGCATTTTGCAGATAATACAGCCGAAGCCTCAGTTTTATACTTTGAAGAAGCCATTTTTGGCTTTATTTTGCTAATCCTGTTCAAGTTAATGAATCCAAGAAAACAGTCCATCACAGCTGCCAGACTGTGACATAAAGACACTCACTGACTCTGCACAAAAACAGATTACGTCCATTTTAAATCTCATGTTACAAGCTGATAAAGTGGCACCGTGACTGTGACAGATGTGAAACATTACTGAGGCAGCACTGAAATAAGAAGGCTGTCATGTGCTGCCTAATGAGTCAGGTGATGAACGGTGTCTGTTCAATTACAACTCGCCTGAACTGACCTACTGCTAAAAGAGAACAGACAGGAACAGGAGTGAGGATGTCTGGAGGAGGCACATTATTACTGCTGTATTTAGACATAAACACCAGATATTATATTTAATTCCAGTAGCTTAATATAAATATTATATTAGAGTGTCTGATTATTCTTATCCTGAAACTTATTACACAAGATGCTTGTTTTCTTTGACTTTTTAAACTTAGCTTCAGTGTTTAATTACAATTTTGAGATATTTTCTGTTATTATTTTTTATTTTATGCTCCAGTTTCGCTGCATTTCAGAGATAAATAGTGTACTTTTTACTCCTTTTACAGTTTATATTGTAGATACGATCAGTATATAGAATCGAACACATTGTTAAACTACTTAAACTAAAACTGCATCCTTCTCAGTCAGCTAAAGCTTTAAAAACAACTCATAGGATCCTAAAGGACTCATATGATGCTTTTAAATCCCTTGTCAATGTTAATAAATGCATCACATTTATTATCATTCAGTATTATTTGTGTACTATTCTATCACTGACCAGCAGCTGTTACATTTCTATTATTCTATTGTCTAACAATTCTTACTCATATACATTTTTGCACCCTGGACCTTTAAGTTTAATGCCGCTGTAACAAAGTAATCTTTATTCATTGCTGCATATATTGCTTTTGCACATCTGGTTAGAAGCTAAACTGCATTCTGTTGCCTTAGTACTTAGTCCACAATCTAAAGTATTACCTGGTAGAGTTCAAAGCGCCGATTAAAAGGCGAAAACTGAAAGTTGCAATTGCCGCTCCTAAACTGGTTTTTGTTTTCTTGTATCTTAAGCCTGTGTTTGTTTAAATGTGGTTAACTTTTCTCCCACGTCAGCTCTTGCCATGGATGCTTTTAGAATGCTTTGTAGTGTGAGACTTTAATCTCAAGGGTTAGATAAAGCATTTAGTGTTTGTTACCAACCTTTTTCAGCTCAATGTAGGTTATGTCTGTTTTTTTTAATGTAAATTGCTGTTTCATCGTAGGAGTAACTCTTTGGAGATCAAGAAAGTTATCTATCTATCTATCTATGTGCTATTCCAGCCTTATTTTAACTTTTTTATTTGATGTATTGAAATGTATGTTATCGCTTTCTACTCATAGGCACTGCATTTCTTATGTTATGTCATTTTTTTTCTGAGCATTATCCTGCACAAGAATTTCCTTTAGGATGATTAAAGTTTTATCTTTTCTATCTAAACACATGTAACTATAGAGTGCAATTGCAGCTCTTGAACTGGATCATGTTTTCTTGTATCTTACTACTGTGTTTGTTTTAATGTGCTTTACTTTTGTCTTATGTCAGTTGTTGTTGTGGTTATTTTATAATCCTTTCTGACCAGGTCTTCTGCCAGAACAGACTCCACCTGGTGAACAGACTGAGGTCCTTCAGTGTGCAGGAAGGCCTCCTGAGGACTTTTTACAACTCGGTGGTGGCGTCTCGATCCTGTGGAGGCGGTGGGTGACAGGAGGATGATGACAAAGCATGGACAATCCCACCCCCTACATGGGACTGTAAGAGCCCTGGAAAGCTCCATCAGTGCTTCTTCATCCACGCTGTACCAAAGAGAGGCAGCGCAGGTCCTTTCTCCCTCTGCTGTGAGACTCTACAACCAGCTATGTTCCCAGTAGACCAACAATGTGCAATATCTCCTTTATATCAGTAAACAATTCCCATTCATATTTAGAAATATTTGTTATATTACACTGGTTATTTGCACTATTCCATGATGTGTGTGTGTCTATACGTTTGCATTTGCACTGTTCTTATATTCTTATTCTTATGTTTTTATTCTTTATTTTTTAAAATATCTTTTATATCCCCTTTCTACATTCTGTGCTTACACTATTCTTTTTATATGTGTATTTTTATACTTATGTTTGCACTATTTCTTATATGTAATTCTTTCTTTCTAGTAAGTGTGGATCTCTGTGCGTACTACTGCTGACAACACTGTGGATTTCTATCTCCACTGTGAGATAAATGAAGGCATATCTTATCTCTTATCTTCTTTTAAAAGAGAAATTTTGATCTCAAATAAAAGTTAAACAAAAAATAAAATCATGCCTTTTATTTGGATTTAAATACGAGATTATAGTTTTATATTTCTCTTAGAATTTGTACACTGAGCAGTTATGAGATTTAAGGGGCGAAATCAAACAAGAAAACTATTATAACTAATAAATACGTTTAAAAAGTGTTGGGTAATATTCTCAAACATCTTACACTTATTGTACATTTTGTATTTTATATTTCTTTATTGTTTATCAGTATTCATGATGGTGGTAACTTCATCTCTGTGCTGTAACAACCACATTTCCCCTTGAGGATTATTAAAACAATAAAGCTTCCACACTTGAGTGTCCTCCATCCTCTCCTCAGACTGGTTCCCAGCTCCCCCCCTCAGCTGGTCCCAGTCCACGTCAGAGCGTCACAGGCTGTGGAGGCGGGTCCGCGCCTGAAGGGGGCCGTCTTAAACCCGGCACAACCATTCAAAACCAGCAGAGGGAAAGCGATCCTCCTGTTGTCCATCACTTCACCCACACCACCAGCCACTCAACACCCGCCGGTGGCCCGACACAGCGCGACCAAACCCGGAGAGAGAAAACCCCACCAAGATGGCCCCGATCTCCATCCGAGCGGTGCTGATCAGCGAGAGCGTGGACCCGCGCTGCAGGGCGATCCTGGAGGAAAACGGCATCCGAGTCACCGAGAAGCCCGGCATGAAGAAGGATGAGCTGATCGCAGAGATTAAGGTAAAGCAGCATTTTATAGTAGTAATGGTTTCAGCAGCTTCCTCCAAAGTTCAGTCTCCCCGGCTGGCATCGCAGGAAACGCGCTGCTGCACTTGTTTCTGGAGGAAAGTCAAAGTGTTCAAGACACGAACCGGTAGTTTTATTACAGGCACAGTTTAATCTTTGAATCGCTCCTCCACACACGTTTTTTATCAGATTGAGGTGTGCCAGTTGATTTTTTTTTTCTTCTGAGTTTAGTACCGCCCATTGAGAAGCTGATGCAACTCATCTCTGACTTTACCGGCGGCTCTCCCATCACAGGCTCACTAATGCAGCTCAATGTAATGTGCACAGGAGCTGCAGGCATGGCCCAGCAGTCTGCAGGCTTCATCCTGATGACTGCCCCGTTTTCAAGATATTTTACAGGAAATACAATATGACATGTGCTCTTGGCAAAATGAGGTCATCTCATTGTTTTCTTAGCCCATGCTCCACAGCAGTGTGCCTGAAGTCTGATTTATGTCATTTGCAGATGTAGAGTCACATGTAAAGGTTTGCCTTGGAAACACATGCTTTCATGAAAGCTACTTAATCATTCCAGTGGCCGACCTTTTAAATCAGAGATATGAGTGCAGGTGAGGACAAAAAGTGCATCTATACAGTCTCATACCTTAAAATCCCAAATAAATGACAATCAGAGCAAAAAAATTCTGTCTATTCCTGACAATAAATCTACATCCATAACCTAATCCTAACATATCTAACTACAGCAACTTACAATTAATTAATAATTGTTATTTTATTGCTTTGCGAGGTCATGTTTTATGAGTAGTTATAAGGAAACATCCGTACTAACAGTTATATTATTACTGCTGCAGATGTCCTAATGAGAGACCGTGAAGCAGAAACATTTCCTAACATGACAGAAAAGTATTTTGACTTTAATAAGCAGATCAGACTTTCCCAAACAGTAAAATAATGTCCCATCGTTTTTGATAAATTATACCATATTGGTGTCCAGGGCTTTAATGCTTCATTGGACTAGATCCAGAGCTATTTTTTTTGCTCTTACTTTTGCAAAAAAAAGGTTGAAAGTTCTTATCCAGTGCCCAGTGAAGGCAGTGCAGACTACATGTGTCAGATTAGAAACAATGTGTAGCAACAAATGTGTTCTCATGCAAAGTGAGTGCTCTGTGATTTTCTGCATCTGTGGGGCCCTGAGGCCTGCAGTGAGCAGGGGGCTGCCTTTACCCACCACCCCTCCTCTGCTTATGTAACCAGCCCATTAAACCCAGCAGTTGGTTCAGACAAACCAAAGTTACAAAACGTACACATTCTGTACACAGCTGAGCACTGATCTCTCTTCAGCCCTCTATTAGACGAGGGAGATGTAACACTGCTGCTTCATCAATCTGTTAAAGTGAAAACGTTTTGACTCTCAGACGTACTGTAGGTCACCTTTAATGTTCCTCACAGCTTCACACCCTCAACAGCGACTGATTGAGCCACAGAAAGTGCACAACATTTACCCTACGTGCAAGATCGGACAGCCCATCAAGTGATGTGTACTGCACGAGGACACTTTTAGTCACATTATTACTGAGTTTAGTGCAGGGGTCTCCAACTCCGGTCCTCGTGAGCTACTGTCCTGCAGGTTTTAGATGTTTCCGTACTGCAGCATACTCAAATTAATGGATCGTTCACAGACTTGTGTAGAACTTGACAACAAGCTGTTGGAGATCCACTAATGTGAGTCAGCTCTGTTGCACTACGGAAACATCTAAAACCTGCAGGACAGTAGCTCACGAGGACCAGAGTTGGAGATTCCTGGTTTAGTGCATCCTCCAGAACAGCAGATTGGATTAGGTTGCAGCTTTTACAGCATCACTCGCCACACTGTTTCATCACCCTCTGTACGATACAACAGCACATCATAATCTTGATCTGTTGATGCAGCTGCATGCAGTTCAGACATTCATAAAAGTGATACATAAAGGTTTGTAAATCCAACTTAGTAAGATTGCTGTTGCAGCTTTTACAGAAATGTGAGCAGGCTGCTCATTCAGACATGAAGCCGACACATTCAGATGCTGTCAGATTAACAGAGAGGAGTTCATGTCTAGAAGGGATGATAGTTTTGGTTTATTTAGTGTTCACACAAGCTTCTAAGAATGATTCAGGAGTAATAAATACAAAGTCATATTAACTGAAATTGTTGACTGTTGAAAGTCTGAACTAGGCACCTTAATAATAAGAACAATGACCGCCTCATTTCACTTGTTTCTCAGCTCAACACACCTCCTCTTTCACTTTCTGCTGGATGAGGGGAAAATTCACGCTCCCTCGAGCTGAACAGCATGCACGTTACCATAGTTACACAATGGTCTGGTGTAAAAATAGGAAATACTTCACGTATACAGACGGGCTTTAACAGTTTGTGGTGCTGAAATGTGCTATCATAGTAAATATGTGGTGCATGGACATAGTAGACCAGGTAGCCTGAAAAACATGCCAGAAATCATTTTGACAAGACCAAAAATAAAAGATGTGAAATTAAAACTGAGTGAGTCCAAAATATTAATCACTTCTGACACAGTGCTGCTCATGAAGCAAGAGGAGGCAATAATGTGGGATTTAACCGTCTTATCAAGTCGGTTTCTGTCAAAAAAAAAAACCTTTGCATGGATTAAAGCACCACAGCTAACTTCTATGTGCAGCCTTGAACGACAACCATGTGCTTCTCTTCACCTTCAGGACTACGATGGCCTTGTGGTTAGATCAGCCACCAAAGTAACAGCTGATGTGATCAACGCTGCTAATAATCTCAAAATCATTGGAAGAGCCGGGACCGGCGTGGACAACGTGGACGTTGATGCTGCCACGAAAAAGGGCATCATTGTCATGAAGTAAGTGTCTGTTTTGTGCACAAATTAGTTGTTTTTTTCGGTGCATTTCTCATCTAACTTACTGTGTGTTAACTGTTTTCTCCAGCACTCCAAGTGGTAACACGATCAGCGCCGCAGAGCTGACATGTGCCCTGCTGATGAGCCTTTCAAGGCAAGATGACACACGCTCTTACAACAAACAACACGCTCAGCAGTTTTAATTGCACTGAAGTCCTGTAAAATTTTCCATTATTGTGTCAATGTGCTTTTAGAAATGTGCCTCAAGCGACAATGTCAATGAAGCAGGGGAACTGGGATCGCAAAAAGGTACACAGAGATTTTGGTTTGCCCACGTGTGTGTGTGCACGTGCGCGTGTGCGTGTATATGTGTACGTGTGCGTGTGTGTGTGTGTGTGTGTGCATGTGTGTGCTCTTGGAATGTCTGTTTTCGCTCGGCCACAAAAAACAATTAGGGTTGCATGGTTGCCTCCATTGTTCGTCCGATTGTTAATAATCAAATGTGACACTTGGATCTGTGCAGTTTGTAGATGTTGTCATCTGGGTCATTGTTTTGTTTCTAATTTTACAGTTCATGGGTGCAGAGCTGTTTGGCAAAGTGCTCGGAATAGTTGGACTTGGAAGAATAGGGAAAGAAGTCGCGTCAAGAATGCAGTCATTTGGCATGAAGGTAAATATCGAGACCACGACACGATGAGACCGTGTGCTCACAATAATCGGTGGCTCAGACCTTTTTTTGTTGTTGTTGTTGTCTTCTTGTCAGACTATCGGCTACGATCCCATCACTCCACCAGAGGTGTCGGCCAGCTGGGGGGTGGAGCAGATGTCTCTGGAGCAGCTTTGGCCTCAGTGTGACTACATCACTGTCCACACGCCCCTCATGCCCTCTACTGTTGGTGAGCTTCACGCTGCCTCTCCTCTCTGTTCTCTAGTTACGTGGCCATCACAGTCTGCATCCGTAGATTTCACGTTTCATGTGTTTTTGTGCCCAAGGTCTGCTTAATGATGAAACGTTTGCCAAGTGCAAGAAAGGAGTGAAGGTTGTGAACTGTGCGAGAGGAGGCATCATCGACGAGGACGCTCTCCTCAGAGCTTTGGAGTCTGGACAGTGTGGAGGAGCAGGGCTTGATGTCTTTGTTGAGGTAAGATCGCAGCAAGAAAAGCTGTAATGTTGCACCAATTACTGGAGTTTGCAAACACAGCATTTTGTTTTGAGAAATAGTATAGCATCCTTGCACCCTTTGAAGCCCCAAACCTTTGAAAGCACAATATTGTTTGTAAATCATTAGATTTTCAACTTTGCGTCACTCCTTGAACTAAACATGTGCAATGTGCATTTCCATTGGGAAAATTAACCAGATCTAAGTGTAAAGTCTTTATATTTTTATCAAATCACTCTATTCCAGTGGTAGCTGGTTAATATGGGGTGCAGGGGTGCTGCCTCACTACTAATGACCAGAGAAAAAGTAGTTCTCAAACACAATATTCAGTTTTAATTATAACAAAATAAAATTAATAATAACATTCATATTATTTTGCCATATTCACAATATTTCTATTATTAACAGATCTGAAATTAGTCTTTACTGCGTGTTTACTAATTTTACACTTCCTGGATGCGGGGCGCCGGCCACATGAGTGTGTATGTAGCTTGAAAAATGTTTCGTGATCATGTGACCTCGGCCCGGGCTCTGATTGGCAGCTGTAGACTTTCTCACGGGGCGCAGCTCGGTGCGTCCCGGAACACGTCCACTTTTGCTGTAAGCCAATTTGTCTTCTGTTGGATATCAAAACTGTCCTTTGACGTTCTTATAACTGAGCTTTCTGACGCCGTCACGCGGCCTTTCCCCTCGTCTTCTACTAAATGACAGCTACTGTCCTGATGGCTTAATGCATCGGCCATGCTGTCAATGGAGAAGACACTGCTCACAGAGATGAGTGACTTCAACCAAAAAGTCATAGAGAAGTTTGCTGAACAGAAAGAGAGGAGAACCAATTTTTTGTTCAAATAGCAGGGCTCCATTTGCGACCTTTTTTTTTTTTTTTGAGTGTGTGAATTGATGAACATGATGATCATGAAGCTGTATTCGTGTCGCTGTAACCAGCACAGGAAGCTGCTGTCTAGACCACAGTGGTGGAAAGTCGTACTTTCATAACTTCTGTGTACTGCAGTATTTACGCTTAAAAATTAGTTCTTCTGGTGGAGCGCACCTGCATTCACAGTTTTTTGGCTCCTAGAAAAGACCACGTGTAGAATACATCTGACATGAGAACGCCCAGTTTATTATTTTTAAAGTCATTTTTGGTCACACACCTGTCTGAGCACCACAGCCACCAACAGCAGCTGCCACAGCCTGCTATGTGGGGCATCAGTGAATCGTAGTGTCTATCGATAAGAAAATGTTCAGCACGTTATATGTTTTGCCTTTGACCAGGTGGGAGGTGCAACAAAATGAGAAAGTGGGTCGTACTGGTGCTACCATTGGAAAGCTAGTCTGGAGCCCTGAATAGTGTTTTTTCATTATTTCTGTTGTGTGTTTTGAGTTTGTACAGATCCTGTAAATATTGATGAAAGTTTGATGAATTGAAATTTACTTTTGGTAAGTCTTAATGATGTTAAATTAGATTACGATTAGAACATCCTCCAAAGGCAGAAAATGTGCTTTCCTATAAGTAATTGTGCCTGATGTTACTTATATTCTAATTTCTGATCTAAAATAAAAGGTCAAACATTTTCACCGGCCGCCACTGCTCTATTCTATATATATATATAATGTAAACTTTTGCCAATAATCAGAAATTTTATTTTTTTTTAAAACAAACAATCAAATAGCCCTGCTCTTCTCGGCACAACACAACTAGAACCAATAGTGATGCGACAAAGACTTTGCAGCTAAACTAGACTTGCTGTGTTTACGTAGAGCAGATATGGGAAGTACGGGAAGAAATTAAATATATAGGCAGGAAAACAAAAGCATAAAATCACCCTTTTTTAATTTTTTGCTTCAGCATTGGTAACACCTGTGGACACTTGGAAAAAGTTTTTTTAAAATTTTTTTTTTTAAATTTTAGTGAAATAAATATATTTTTCTCTTTTTTCATAATCTATGGCACTATATGTTGTTACTGTGCACAAAATACATTTGATTTATTAGCCACAGTTGTGCTGTTTGCATGGAAGTCCAGGATTTAGTATTACAGTGAAAAATGAACTGACAATTAGTAGAAATATGACAAAAAATGCCCCTAAACTGCTTATAGTTCAGAGGGTTAATGCCACATTATTATCAACAAAGAAAATGCTGTAGCTGACATGTTGCTATGTGTTCATGTTTTTTTCTACAGGAACCACCTAAGAACCGCTCACTGGTGGATCATCCCAACGTCATCAGCTGTCCTCACCTGGGCGCCAGCACCAAGGAGGCTCAGGCTCGCTGTGGGCAGGACATCGCTCTGCAGATCGTGGACATGGTGAAGGGCAACAAGCTGGTCGGAGCAGTAAGTCAATGTTCTTCCACTGTTTAAACAACTGACTGCTCAGACAATGAGTTTCATTGTTGAGAAATATGTTGAAGGGGTGATTCTGGTACGACTCGTGAGAGATGTGTTCTAGACAAATGCAGCAGAGTTTGAAATGTTTGGAAGAAGATGGCTGAATCCTATACCTCCTATAAAACAACTGAATAGAAACTTTCAAAATTCATCCCTGAGGTTTCTAAAGTAAGCTCAGTTATTTCTAACACAAGCCACAGAGAACATTATGCTGTTTTTGCACACAGCGATCTTCATGTGTCCTTTTCTATTAAAAAGTTAGCAGAATCTACAGCAACAGGAGATAGATAATGCTTAGTTAAACCTAAGTTTAATGTTACCCTCCGAGCTCCAAACAGGTTCTGGGCTTTTTTTTTGCCCCTGTCACATTTTTTATGACTACAGCCATAATAGAAATAAAAAGAACTTGGAAATGTCTTTTGTGCAATATGATGCAGCTTTAATGTCAAAAAATGTTTAAAATAAATAAATAAACTCAAATTTCCTGGATTATTGTTTTTGAATTTGAAAAAAGAAAACTTAAATCAACATGTACAGCACTTTTCTAAGTGATTCTACAAACTCTAGATATTTTACTACTTGCATTATTCATCCATCCATTATCTACACACCGCTTAATCCTCACTGGGGTCGCGGGGGGCTGGAGTCTATCCCAGCTGACTCAGGGTGAAGGCAGGGGACACCCTGGACATATATGTGTTCTATCAATTCTAATGGAAGAACAGCCTGTGCTTCAGATGAAATGTGCCCAATGTTTTTGTCATGTGACTGTTGCTCACAGCAGAAGTCAAAGCTTTGTGGCTACACTGAGAAGGACAGATTTTTTTTCTTTTCTTTTTTCAGTTCTTAGAATTTCTGGCTCGTGCAAAAGATTCATTTTGGGCACATTTTTTCAACAAGACTTGTAAAGTAAAGTGATTGAACTAAAATATCTTAATTTTAAGCTCAGATTTGGATCATTTTCAGACTTTACGACAACTCACTCTGGTTTTTTGTTTCTGACTTTGATAATAGTGGAATAATGGTGACTTTTTTTTTTTTTTTTGAAAAAGATAACTTGACTTTGAAACACACACGTGGGTTTTGGGGTTTCGGGGTTAAAGAAACCAGGGTGATCAAGTCATTTCTTAGTCTTCCATCCACCCTCTGTTTTTAAATTTTGGCGTTTCACTAAACCATCCTGTTTCTTCTTGTGTACAGGTAAATGCCCAGGTGTTGGCCAGCACGTTCTCCCAGGAATCTCAACAGCTGATCAAGCTCGGAGAAGCAGTTGGAGCCGTGCTGCAGTCGTGCAGCGCTTCTAAGAAACCTTTCAGTTGTGTTCAGATCACTACGAAAGGTAAAATTACTGGTCTAACCTGTTTGTGTAGGCAGAGACTTGAAGGAGGGATCATGTCATAGAAAGGGAATGTTGTTCTCCCTCTAGTGGTGTCATTGTGACACTGGCACTGTGTTTGATGCAGGTCGGTGTGTGTCTGTATGTTCTGTTGTAGTGAATTATGAACCTCTTGCTCGTAGTGGCACCTAACACTCCATTATGTACTGTTTTCTACAAACCAGGGGACTGCATGAAGTCCTGCGCTGGTTACATGACTTCAGCTGTTCTGGTTGGTTTGCTCAATCAGGATTCTGGATGTTGCCCGAACTTCATCAATGTTCTGAACTTAGCCAAGGACACTGGAATCACGGTACAACTTCAGCTCATTCTGGCAAATAGCACATGACAATATTAGTGTTTTTCTGGGAAAACAGTCTTTCCATTCATGTTCATGCATGTGCTCCTCAGGTAAACCAAACCCACTGGGAGTTGGACGGGGCGTCTGAAGGTGTGTGCAAAGTGGAGATCGCAGCCAACGGCTGCAGCTATAAAGCCAGCGGCTCAGTTCAAGGTGGTGTTCCAGTTCTGCTGGAGCTGAGCGACAGCGTGTTCAGACAGCCCATCGCTCTCACTGGAAACATGCTGTTCTTCAAGGCCTCTGCCAGTCCGCAGCTCCTGTCCTCAGTGGCTGGTAAGAAATGTAGATGGGTGACATTCAACTCACAATCAGCTCTGTAAAACTGAAGCCACAGCTAACAGTTACAACCAGTTTGTGTCTCTGTGTTGACAAGGTTTTGGTGGATTTGTAAGTGTAAGTGGAGTTTTTACATGTATAGGCAGCGTTCACAGTCAGCCTATAAAACAACACAGTAAAGTCTCCTTTCAAGCCTCCACTAAGCTACCACTTCCAGTCCATTTATGGTCTGAAGGCTGATTTTGCCAGCAGCAGTTGTCTCCATAAAACTTTTCTGGGCACCTTCAGCTCATCACATTTTAAGACCTTTATGTCTAAACCAACAAATATACATTAAGTTCAAAACATCTGTGTTATACTTCTGTAGAAATTAAAATAAATAACCGGTCTATAACACATTCCATTTCTAAATTTTGAGGAAAAGTTTGGAAGCTTGAACACAACAATGTAGACAAAATACATCAAGGAGCTTTAGAGCTAGAGTCAGTGGGATCGTAGAAGTGTAAACTGGTGCTAACAGCTGAAGATCTACGCATTTAGAAAACATTTCATTCAGAGCAAATGTAAACTGACAAAAGATAAATACCATTAAACAACGTAACTAGGCTACAACTCTGACAGGCAGCAATGTATACACAGATACGACGTACTGTATTGAAACTGGTGGAGGATAAAGACAACAAAGAGCTCTGAAAGACCCACAGCCAATGGACACGATCATCAGGCGTGTTTAGGAGTGTAAGAGGTTGTAAGTTAAAGTGAAGGACTTTTGTCTGCTGTTGTTATTTGGTCTGGAAATGTGTCTTCTGAGACTTATGGATGATTGAGGCGTTGTGCAATAACTGCAAAAGCAGCATGTAGGTATGCAGGTAGGCAGGTACATGGTTTAAAGGTAGAGTGACTGCAGTGATTGGATGGACTTTTTCAAGGATAACACTTTTTTAAAAAAATCATTATTATTATCAGAGCACTTGATTGACTCACTGGTGGGATGGAAAGAAACTTTATTCTAAAGCCCCTCTCAGATTTATGCTCTTTTCTATTATTCTTAATCGTAACTTTAGACTTCGATACACTTTTTTGATCCACAAGGGAAATTGTTTTATCACAGTAGCACAAAATAAATAATTATATAAGAATGTACAAGAAATGAAAATAAAATAAAAACATGAAGTAAAAAAGCAAGCAGGAAAAAAAGAATACAATACGAAGCTTTCCATATGTACGATTTACAATTTTACATTTTTTATTTTTTTATGCCAAATAAAGAAAGACAAATAATAATAATTAATATTACTATTAATGATGATAATAATAACAACAATAATAAAATAAGACAATAAAATTAAAATAAAAAAAATGAAAATAAAGATAAAATATAAATACTACTGCCACTGTAACACTTGTGCAAAAATAGGAGTGGAGGAGTTATCTGATGCTTTGGTGGCTTCATGTCTCAATGAGCCATCTGGTCACTTTTCCATCAAAGCTGCAACAGTAGTCTGATTACTGTTGGAACTAACAACATTTCCGCATCAGTTTCACCATGGCACAAGTCACACATAACTGATGTACTTCTAGTTGTGTGATGTTATGTTATGCTGTGTGCAGACACAGGGGATGCATATGACTTAAGTATTGTTATTTTCTTGTACTTTCTATATTTTTGGATGCTGCTGTGGCGTCTAAATTTCCCCCAATGGGGGATGAATATAAGTATTCTATTCTATTCTATTCTATTCTATTCTATTCTATTCTATTCTATTATTTTGGGATGGTTTCTCCACATTTCAGTGCCAGTATTGGTCTAAAACATTGCTAAGCGCACAAACACAACTTGCTGTCAAAATCACAAAACACATCGCCCAATAACGTTGCTCTTCACTTTCATATCTCTTACAGACTAACAGGTGAGATAAATGACACTCACCAAACATTGACATAATCTGAGTTTGACTAAACATTAACAGGAGCTTAAGTTTAGTTTGTTGCCTCCAGCTGTTTATACAACACCTGCAGCAGGATCAGTGTGAGCATCTCCAAAGCAAGGCAGCTTTTAGCACATGAAACAAGTTCATTAATTGCTTACAATTATAAATGATCCCTGACGTGGAAACGGGATAAATCAGGCTCTAGCGGCAGGTCACGCTGTATTCTTCATCTCATCAGACATGTGAGCCGTCACATGGAGCCACAGTTTATAAGCTGCTGGTAAATAGCAGATAGCAGATTTAGATTTATCACATGTCTGAAAAGGGCTAAAAAATAACATAAAGTGCTTCTGGAATGCATCGTATACTGTAACCAAAATGAACATTGGAGTAGGTGGTAAATGGTAGGGAGTGTTTCTGTCAAAAACAAAACATGTACACCGTCGTCAAAGCCAGAACTGCAAACCGTACTTTTCTCCACTGCTGCTTTGCTCACAGCTCTTCTTAAACACGTTCAATTTAGATGAACGGTGGCTTTGAGAACTAAATTGCAGTATTCAGGGAGACTTTTTTCTTCAAATGAACACCTATTTTCTTCTTCCTCCATTGTTTAGGACTGTTGGCCACAGAGGGAGTGGAGATCCAGTCTTTCAGCGCTCCTGCAGACGGCACCGGGGATCTGTGGTTTTGTGTCGGGGTGTCGTCTCTCCTGCGAGACCTCAGTGCCTTGAAGCCTTTGGTCAAAGACGCAGCGCAGCTCAGCATTTAAACGCCAGTAGCCTCACGTCCCGGTGGAACGTTCAGTATCTGAAAATCCTAACAAGAGTGTCTTAATATACCTGCTGGTTCTTTGTGTTTACAGCTAACAACTTGTTTAGAAGTTGAAAACCTGAAGTTTAAAACTTGCATTTTGATAACATTCCAGCGTGTAGATGTTTTGTTTATGAGTTCGTTGTAGTAAAAACTGAATAGAAGGTTTAATTGTCACGTGATGCTCAGTTTGCTGTTTGGCATTTTTAAAGAGAAGATGTGAGTAGAAAAAAAAAGCACTCCAAATGCTTAAACTGAAAAGGGACTGAGCAACACTGCAAACCTGAACACCTTAATGCAGTTTAATACAACAGCTCTGTAATATGACTCCTATTTTGTACTTTTAAAATGTTGACTAAGTGTGTCTCACGTCATTCTTGTCAGTTCTGTGGTTTTTTTTGTTTCACGGTTTACAGTTCTTCATCACATTACGTTGCACAGGGGAGCATGATCAGCATTCTGGTGTAAATGACAGATAACTTGCTTCTCAGATTGTACTGCTCAGTTAAACAACTAAACAGTATTCAGCTGTAAGATGTTAAAATACTACAGACCCCCTGAGTGTAAAATTCATTCCTGGTGTTGTTTTGTGTATTTAGTATGTTTTCAAGCAGCTCAAACACTCTTGTTACTTTTTGCTGTCCGCCTAAATTTCATGAAAATGTTCCCTCAGTTTGTATCATGGAAATGTCAAAGACCATCACTGGATGCATCAATAAACAAAGTGAGACAATCAAAACTCTGACTGCTTCTTACCTGAAGAGTAGATTTTTATTATATTTGCAAATAGGAGCAAGTGTCTCTCAGAGGAGAAGCAGACGTTTCTACACTTGATCATCAGTCAGTCCACAGTCCTAGTTTTAAGAAAGTAGTATGTGCTATTGTAAAGAGGCAGGTGACAAATTAAAGGAAAAGCCTGAACCACTGACTCCCACTGTGAGGGATCCACTGGTTCTGTTAAGCTCTGGGGGGAAATAGTGTTTTGTTTTGTTTTTGCTGACTTAAATTTACTAAAACTGTACAATTTACAGTCACATATTGTAAAAGTATTCATTAGTATTTGCTAAAAATAATAACAAAAATGTGGACATTATGCACAGTTTTGCCTATATTTTCAACATGTAAATTAATTCCATGATTAACACATGGATTTTGTGAAATAGCAGTTTAAAAAAAAAAAAAAAATCATTTTTCAATATTGTTAATATATATACATATTAATTGTAAAAATAAATAAAAACAGGGCAAAACTTTACAAATGGTAAAATCTACAGTAATTTCTACTTTTACAATGTTTGGCTATAAAATCACACAATTTCTCTGCATTTACATACAATAAAATATCTTTATTTTTCAGACATATTTCTTTTTTTTTAAACAATTTTTTGGATTTTTGGACAGCATTCCATAGTTTTTTTAAACATGCTGGCAGCAAGGCAGGCAGATTTTCACCACTTTTACAGAATTTTTTACAGTGTAGTTGTTTTCTGAAATTCAACAAAACAGGAAAAATCTGTAAAATGACACTAAATTATTCAAAACGCTACAGTTTGAAAATGTTCTGTTTTGTTGTTTGTTTGTTGTTTTTTTGTTTTTTGTACAGTGTATGCTAACGTATGTAAGCAGAGAAATGTGCTGAAACGTAAAAGAAAAAAAAAAGTAAGAGTCCCACATAAGTGGTCACATGTCTGAGACGTTCCTCCGCAGGAATACGGAGCAGTGTGCTGCTAATCCTCGTTAGGATTAGGTAAAGCCTTGGACACAGTGGAAAAGGGTTCAGACTACCATGGCAACCGCAAGAAAGGGGAAAAACATGAATGGACCACCACAGCGACGACTCCTGCCCGAGCTGCTCTGAAGGCGACGCTCGTTTGTATCAGATTAATATTCCGTGTGCGCCTCTCCGCCGCCAGGACGCACCGGTGCGCCGTCAGTGCGCGTCATGAGACCGCGGACGGAGGTTATATTTAGGCTCGGAGAGAAAATAGCGGTGTTGGGTGATTCCTCTGAATGGCTGCTTATTGGCTTTTGTCAAGGACCTGCTGCTGGAGAGCGGAGCGCAGAGCAGAGCAGAGGAGGGGGGATGGACGCTGCACACAAATACCAAAATAGGACCGAGCTGCCTGCCACCGTCCTGCGGGAGCTAAATTGAGGTTCATGTGTTGTGGAGAAGAGAGAGGACACAGCGGAGTGTCAGCGTGGAAAAAGCACGGGTGATCCGTGGGAATAGGATGAGAGGTGAGTCCGTGGTTTACACCTTCCTGTTTATTAATTAAAGGGCGAATGTGGGACATTTGGGTCGCACTGCGGTGGATTGTCAACGCAGCTTAACGCCATGATTTTTGCTTTGATTGCTGCCAAATCACACCTATTTTTGTTTTTGTCCTCAGATATCATGTCACATAAACAAGCAGACATCTACACCTACGACTTCTGTGACGGAGACCATCCAGCAGAGCTCCTGGATGCTCTCAGGCATTTCTACATGAGCGGCCTGTTTACAGATGTGGCTCTGCAATGTGGCGAGTCCGGGCAGGTGTTCCACTGCCACAGAGCTCTGCTGTCAGCCCGCAGCTCCTACTTCAAAGTCATGTTCACAGCTGACATGAGAGAGAGGTCAAACAGCGTCATCAAGCTCACCGGGGTGGACTGCGGGGTGCTGGGAGCCCTGGTGGACTATGTGTACACGGCCCAGGTGTGCATCACTGAGAGCAACGTGCAGAGCCTGCTGGAGGCTGCAGATCTGCTGCAGTTCATCTCTGTCAAGCAGGCTTGCGAAGAGTTCCTGGTTCGCCTCCTGGATGTGGACAACTGTCTGGGCATGCACACCTTTGCTCAGCTGCACCTGTGTCCGGGGCTGGAGAGGGAGGCCCGCCGGGTGATGCTGAGCAGGTTCGCTGAGCTCATCCAGCAGGAGGAGTTCTTAGAGCTGGACCAGGAGAAGATCAGGTCAGTGTTGGCTGCTCAGAGTCTCACTGTGCAGAGGGACGAAGTGCTGATAGATGCACTAGCGACATGGGTGAGCCACAACTTGGATAACCGTGTTCACCACGTTCCGGACCTGCTGCGCTCCATCCATCTGGATCTGGATGAGGTCTACTTCAAGACCACGTTAGAGGTGCACAGACAATACTTGATGAACAACGACGGCAAGCTAAAATCCATGATCATTCAGGCTTTAAGGTCCAATGGGAAAGAGATATCTGCAAGTAGAAAAATGTCCTCCAACATGTATATCATTGGAGGATACTACTGGCACCCTCTCTGTGAAGTTCACATCTGGGATCCTGTCAGCAACACCTGGGTGCAGGGAAAAGACATGCCTGACCACGCCAGAGAGAGCTACAGCGTCAGCTTACTGGGAGCAAACATCTATGTGACCGGCGGTTACAGATCGAACACTGTTGAGGCCCTGGATGCCGTTTCAATCTATAACTGTGACTATGATGAATGGACCGAGGGCTGCCCCATGATCACAGCCAGGTACTACCACTGCTCTGTCACTCTGCACGGCTGCATTTACGCCATCGGAGGCTACAGAGGAGGAGCTCCGGAGAGAGAGACTGAGTTTTATGATCCTTTAAAAAAGAAATGGTTCCCTGTGGCCCAAATGATCCAAGGTATGCTGAAATATTATGACATTTGATATCAAAGGGGGGAGACAAGAATGAATGAAAGCTGAGAAAGCAATCTTACCACAACATCCATTTAGTGGCTTTTTCTGAGCACTTAAGACTTCTTGCTCATGTTGGCTTGAAAGCTGCGGCTCAACGCACATTTTTAATCTGCTGATGAAGATCATGTGATTGAACTGAAAGGCCCTGAGCAGCTTCTAAATGGAACTTATGGTGAGATTGTTTCACAAGCAGCTGTTTCAAGGTCAAATATGAAATTTGAAACTAAAAATGATGGTTTTCTGGAAATATTAGAAAATGCACTTCTGATTACTGATTGGACATCTAAAAAATAATAATATAAATTCATACAGTGCATTTCAGAACAAAGACATGGGTTTCTTTGGGTAGTTCATGGGTGACTTTGGGTATAACTGTGTGACCAAAACAAAATATTTCTTTCTGAGCTTTCAGCCACATCAGTAAATGGAGTTTGCACTGTTGTCACGGAGATGGTCCCGTTGTTATGACAGCATCACAAGGAGTCGGCACTTTATCACAAACCATTCAATACCAAAAGACAGGATCACTTGGGTCATATGGGGACAACTGAGCAAACACCTTCTGCTGATGAAGGCCAGGAGATACAGCAGGAAGTTCTGGAAGAAACAGAGTTTGTTACAGTTTATCAGGCACTTATAATGCAGACTTGGGATCTCTTCCCAGAAAGTTTCACCACCATTAAGATCTTGAATCATCCCAGGAGGCTTCTTATGTTTGAACTGAAGAAGCCTCTTGGATGAGAAGTTAAACATCTTCAGGAACCAAAAAGAGAACTCCAGCTGCCTTCTACTGACACATCATGATCTGGATGACTGGCCATACAAACATAGTACCTTCAGTCAAGGAGTATTTTGACATCTTTTGGCTCATTTTTTTGGTTTTATCGCCAACCACTGAACTGTTTTTTGGTTCATTCTCATTATTTCAAGCAGCATCAGGCAGCTGCTTTTACTGAAAAAAAAAGCTCCAGAACCTTATTATATGCGACAGTATCTGTCCAGTAAGGACCAGCAGACAGAGTTTGTGACTAGCTGTTGAAAATGAAACATCTACAGAGTCAGATATTTGCTTCAGGAGTTGGCGTAGAGCAAAAACAGTTATAAGTGAGTAAATATTCAACTTAAGCTGTCCAGAAACAGCTTCAGATGAATTTTGAAGTTGTTTTCTGTCGGATGTGTTACTCACCTGCCAGTTCTGCCATATCAGCTTTACAAGGTGATACTATGCGTCACAAAATCAATTAATGGATGCATTCCAAGCTGATAGACACAAGGGACTATTTTAGTGATATTAATACTCTCTGTTTCTTTTAAAGGTGTAGGAAACGCCACTGCCTGTGTGATGGGAGATAAAATCTATGTGACAGGAGGCCACTATGGCTACCGAGGAAGCTGCACCTACGAAAAAATCCAGGTGTACAGACCAGATGTTAACGAGTGGAGCATCATTACAATAAGCCCCCATCCGGGTAAGAAGCACACAGAATAGGAGCACCATAAATGTCGGATACTGTTTCCTAAGTTGAAATCCTGTGTTTTCAGAGTACGGGCTGTGTTCGGTGTCGCTCAACAACAAGCTGTACCTGGTGGGAGGTCAGACGACCATCGCAGACTGCTACGACACGGAGAGAGACGAATGGAGGGCGATATCAGTGATGAAGGAGAGGAGGATGGAGTGTGGGGCCGTGGTGATAAACGGCTGCATCTATGTAACGGGGGGATACTCCTACTCTAAAGGAACTTACCTGCAAAGCATTGAGAAGTACGACCCTGAGCTGGACTCGTGGGAGATCGTGGGGACTCTCCCCAGCCCGACCAGATCACACGGATGCATCTGTGTTCACGGCGTTTAGTGACAAACCTTTATCGCTGCATTTGTTTATTAGGCCAAATGGATCAAACAGTGACTGTTTTTCACTGAAGTGTGCAAATGTAGGCGCACTGTCACGCAATAAGTCAAGCTGCACTGGATACATGCCTTTAGGGAGCTATTTGCCAAACTGAATGCACTGATGAGCAACTATTAAACTCAGGGGCCTCGTGATGAGCATTTTAGACTTTTTAATTTTTTAATAGCCACAAGGTCGCCGGCGACCTATTTAGGTTTGATTTAGCCGCATGCTGAACAAGCACATTTTCAGAAACTAGAAGACGTTACCTTTAAAACTAAGTGTCACAGGTTTCTTCTGTTATAAGCGTGTCCATGTTGTTATGCCAAAAATTCCATAAAAGAGGTAGAAGTTAAGAGGTTCTAAATAGATTGAATGTATTTGAATGTTATTCACATCCACTTTATAAATGTATACACATATGTATATTTATTAGTAGAGCTGTACCACTAGGCTGTAACTTAAATAAATAACTCACTAAACGAATGAACTGATTTCTAGTTTGATTGTCATGCATATAAAGTTTCTGGATCTCAGAAGCCAGACATGGTGAGTTTATGTGTATAGAACTGAGAAATAAGGTAAGTCGAGGGGTTTTATTCGCGTGACAGAAAGGAATTAAGACGTAAAAGAAAAGGATGACAGTATTAAAAAGGTTTCACATGATTAAATGGTAGACATATGTGACTTGTACTAACTAAAACATAAAAATATGAAAACATGCAAGATAATAATGTGATTTTGGATCATAAAAGAAAAAAAATGCACTAAATTTTAATGTAAAAAAAACACAATGTGTTTGTTTCTTGAAAATATTTTTTTAAATAAAGAGATAACACATTGTAGTGAAAATAATTCAACAATAACGGTATTGCTAAGCATTTTGTTAAATGTTTTTTCAACTAATGAACTGATAAAACTGATATTGGCTAGAAGCTTATATCATAAATACAGCTTTATGTCAGAAGTAACCTCTCTTTTAGGAGGAAACATCATTTAACCAGAAAACAAGAGGATCTGTCATTCATTCATTCAACCATTATTTTTACCATAGAGATTATTGAGGAGCAAACCTCTGATGTCCAGTGAAATTACAAAAAAAAGGATGAGAAAAGACAAAAGGATGAAAAATAAACAAAGAAATGTGCTCATGAAGGGAGGTCGCTAACACAGGATGGATAAATAAAAATAATACAATTTCCTGTTTAAGGAAGGTGGTTTGCAAGATATAATAACTATAATGTGTCACACACACACACACACACACAGAGCAAGAGATAGATAGTTACTTTATTGATCTTTTTACAGGACATTACTCGTTACAGCAGCTACATTCAAAGACAAAACACAGACAACCCCACAAGACACCCGACATTGAAGGCACACATAAAATATAAAACAAAATACACAATATAAAATAAAAACAAGATAAATAAATAGTACCAAGTGTGCAAAATATGGATTTCAAAAACGTATGTACATAAAGTGTCAAATATGCATAAAGTGTTGGGACATAAAGTGACATAGTTATGCAGCCATGTGGTTTTATTTCACATTAAAATGCAAAAAAAATTAGAAATATGTAGTAAACATTGTGCAATAAGTACAATAAAATGCAACAACAACAAAAAAAAGTGCAATAGAAGCAAAAAAATAAATAAATAAAAAAGTTTTTTTTTTTTAAAAAAGAGGAGGAAAAGAAAATCTAGTAAAGATAACAAATAACACGGAACTGTCCCAATTGTTTAGTGACATAAAATTAGACAATAGTTAAATCAGTTTTGCCACTTTACATGAGGACAGCCTCACTGGTGTCCTGCATATCGACTGTATATGTATCTTAAACAGTCTATGCTCCTGCAGTGAGACAGCGCCACCTTGAGGCTGTGACCAGAATCACATGTTTCCATGTAGATCAAACTTTGGAGTTTCTGAGGCGCAAACGAGCCTTTCTGTCCCTCGGTGGTTTCCGTAGCACGCAGTTCCACAACGTGCAGAGAAGTGAGACCTCCTGGTTTGAACAGTTAAAACTGCTGCTAGCGAGCACTCAGCATACCGTAAGTAGAACTTTTCGTGGTGGTGAAAATGCCTTTTGAATGTTGTTTTTTACATTACTAAAATGTTTTGTAATGTACAAATAAACAGTAGAAATCCTCCGCCGGCAGGTTTGAACAGCGTGCTGCTACTGGAGTACAGTCACGCAGAGTGTAGCGCACTAGTTAAACTTTATCTAGCTAGTTAGTTCGTGGCTAACTAGTCGCCACATTGAATAAAACATTCACTGGCAACGTGGCGACAGTCTTGTAGCTGTGGGAGTTGGTTTTTAATGTACGGATATCAAAGCGTGCAAAAGCATGGCCGCTGTACAGCTACTGCATATCGGCTATGCTAGCAGGTTAGCCATCATGCTAACAGGAAAATCATTAGAACATCAGGATACATAAATGAAGACTGTTTGTTTAGGCCTGTATTTTGTTAACATTAATATTCCTTACTGGGTCAACCTGTCCAGGATATATGTCCAGGAGGTTAGTGGTGTTCTGGGTTGTTTTTCTTGCTATTAAACATCATTATTGAATAATACACACAGTTGAGTCCAGACAGCAGCTGGTTGCTAATGTGCATCACAACTCTCCAGCCTGATGTAAGAGGCTGTAAATCTCAGGACATCTGAAAATAATGGAGGCCATGTGACTCTGCAGATGCAGAATTTGGAGATCCAAGGAAAATAGCCTCACAGCTGAGTTGTCCTAAATATAGTGGATTGCTATGCCTTGTCTTTTAAACCCATTTTATCTTTGTTTTGTATTTATGTTACGTTTTATTTTATATTTTGTACCTTGAAAGCCTTGTAGCTTGATTTCACTCTACTTTTTCTGTCTTATTGGTTATTCAGTGGTATGTGAAGCACTTTGAACTGCCCTGTTGAATGACAAAATTTGATTGATTAATTGATTGATGGAGGTGAATGGCATCTTAGTTCATTGGCTGACAGTCTTGAAAAAAATTCACCAGATTAAAAAAGCCTCATTAAAGGCTTTTTCAATCAACATTAATTAGGTTGCTCAGAATAAGCCAGAAACCTCAAGACTGCTATTTTTTAAAAACTACAGCTACAACAGATAACTGGGTAAATTGTCGACTATTAAACCAATCATAAAGTATTTTGATAATCAATGAATGAGTTGTTTTTGTAAGAAAAAAAATCGCAGATTCCAGTTTCCTGAAATACAACACTTTAAAGTGTATTCACAAATATTACAGTAACCTTGATATCTTTGAGTTGTGAATAAAACAAGACGTTTGAGGACGTAATCCTGAGCTTTGGGAAATGCTGATCAACATTATTCACCGTAATCAGATGTTTTATTTACCAAGCATCTTTATTAATTAAGAAAATATTCGACAGATTAATAGTAAGACACAATGGAAATAATCGTCATTTGCAGCCTTCTTTTAAGCCTTTAATAAATAACCCAAGATGCCTGTCAGGATTACAGGCGTGCTCCAGAACAATTGGCAAATGTACTATAATTGTGCAATGTTTCATGTTTATCACATATATAAATACGTGACAATGGATTTGTTTAGATCATAAAATGTTGTGATAAAAATGTACCTTTTTAAAGACCACAATGGCTTTTTTCAACTGCAATACATCTGTAGAAAAGCTACAAGCCCAGATCCAAACACAATATTTAGCATTTTTGTGTGATTTGTAACATAATTAGTTGTTTAGGGAATTGTTGTTGATTGTGATTGTGTGTGGATTGACTAATTTCTTCCAATTTTATATCTACATGTGTCATATCCATAGGAAAGGTATCTGTTTTTACTGAGAGGCATATCCTCTTTGTTTCTATTCTCTACGCAGAACGGTCATGGCAGAAAAGCAAGAGATGTCTCCAGTTGAGATGAAAGTGGCACGACAAGTGGAGGTAACTGGTTTAAAATGTACAATGTCATTTGCAAAGGTCAGCTAACTTCCGCTCTGAAAAACTGTCCTTTATTCCCTCTTAGTACTACTTTGGCGATCACAATCTTCCAAGAGACAAGTTTCTCAAAGAGCAGCTGCAGCTCGATGATGGCTGGGTGACTTTGGAGACGATGCTTAAATTCAACAGGTTTGTTTAATTTTCCTTTTAAATGCTGGAAAATAATAACGACTCATATTTTGGCTTTTTTTCATTCTTTTTGTAAATTTACTAATATATAAAGCTTGGTGTTAATTGTTTTGTTGCCTATTTTTGGGAACCCCAGATAACTTAAAACCAAGTAAATTGTGATCAAACGATCTCTTTGCAGCATCGAACTGTTAGCTCTGTGTGTCTGCTGAACCTTGAGCACAGTCGTCCAGCTAACACCAAAAATCAGCAGTACATTATGAAATAAAAGCTAACTTGTGATGTGAAACGATCTGACAGTCTCTGCTCCAGTGCCCATGTAGACCAGTGCCCATGTAGACCAGTGGTTTGCCGTCCTCTAGGAATTTTAGCTTTCTTCTGGATGGTGAAGCAGGCGAGGCCGGCTGCGTCTGGGGCTAATTTTAGTTTTAACCTGTAATCACACTGCTGTTATTGTATTGTTTGGGTGGCTTCATGCTGCTCTCACCACACCTCTAAAACCTCAAGGTAGTGTGTGAGATCACTGAGGGCTAATGGTGAGCAACACTTAACTCCTGTAACATCAGTGTACTATTTATGTTTCTTTTTAAATTATTATTGTGGAAAGTGGCATTGTGTGTAGAACAGACCTCTGTTGCACTCGATGTGAAATGTTGCCTTTTGACGTTTTCGCAATAACACGACTGAATCAGACACTGAAGCTTCAACAATGACAACAATTCAAAAAGCAGGGTTCACCAAGGCCTGTGGGGGAGGTGAGGGATTTCTAAAATCAGCTGCTGGGTGGAGAGAAGAAGAAAAGGCTGTGTGACTGAGCAAGAATAGAAAGAGAGTGATGACTAATCAGTTTCTGTGCGATTCATGACTGGCAGGACAAGACGATCGTATGACCTCAGGCTGTCCCTGAAGTCCGCATGTTACCAAACAGGTGACATCGAGCCACAGCAAATGAAAACAAGCAGGCGACATAAATAAAGACTATTTTTGCTGAATTTAAGAGGAATCCATATAATGCTATTAGACTCAGATACCCTTACATTTCCAGACTGGCAAAAATCAGATTAAGGTTTATATTTGGAATGTAAAGTCTCGTCTGTGAGTCAGCACATTTGCTTTCTAATCAGGCCTAATTACTTGAGGGAGCTGTGCGTCAGTAATCCAATTGCTTGTGGATTTCAATAATTTTTATATTAAATATGAATAAAAAATGGAGCCCTGCAGATGCTGAGAATATCTCAAGTGATTGTGGTGACACATCTCGACTGGCTGAGACGATTCAGTGTCTCCTGATTTTAACAACACCGCTACACTGAAGTTTTAAAAAAAAGTAGATTGTTGGTGTTACACATGGACTCAGAGCAGGGCTGGTTTTGAGTATTTGTTGAAACATCTGCATTCTTTTCTTAGATTGAAGTCTTTGACTACAGACAGCGACGTCATCGTTGCAGCGCTCCAGAAATCAAATTCTGGCCTCTTGGAGATCAGTGAAGACAAGACGAAAATCAGGAGGTCTCTGAACAAACCGCTACCCGAACAGAATGACGAATACAAGGACGCACTTAAACACAAATCTGTGTACATTGTAAGTTTTTAAATTGCATGCATGCTTATTCAGATGCTTAAACGCAGTATTTATCTTTGTTGGGCCTTGATGTGACCCAGTTAACAATTTATTTGATAGGCCAAATGACAACTAATGCAGTATAATTCAACACGCTGCTCCATGCGTGAAAACGATTGAGTTGTGTGAAAAGGATGCACACTGAGTTTTCTGTTTTTAGCCCAGCCCTACTTACATACAGAGTAAATAATAGAAACACCTGGCAGCAAAATGCACTTTAATTCAACTGCAGCCTCCAGAGTAGCCATACAGCTGAACCAGTGCTTTTATAAAAATGGTTTCAATAAGAACTGAATAATAAAACCTTTCGGTACGTCATGTTGGACTGCATTAGTGATTATTTTTATTAGTATTATTCTTTTCTTCCATGCAGGTGTTTTCTAGGGAGCATAAATGCTTTATGCTGCATTTTTGTCATGTAGTTACAGAAATGAGCTTTGAACATATCCAGAATTTATTCTTTACCTTTGATATTGTTTTCCCACATTTTAACACCATCCTTTCTAATTTAGAAAGGCTTTCCTCTGGAAACTACCCTCGATGAGATTCAGGAGTGGCTGAATGGGAAAGGCAAAATAGAAAACATTCAGATGAGGAGAAATCTGCAAAGGCAGTTCAAGGTACATTCAACGGGTCATGTAACGATTATAGATGCACTTTTTCCTCATGAATTCAGGGAATTCTTTTTAATTGTTTCTTTCTTTTTTATCTTTACAGGGATCTGTGTTTATCTGTTTCGACACAGAAGAGTCATCCAAGCAGTTCCTCGAGCGTTCAGACATAAAATCCTTCAAAGACAATGACATGCTCGTGTTATCAAGGTAGGCTGTACTATTGCTGAAAAGTTGTGCAAATGCTTCGGTGCCTTTTATTGCTTACACGTTAAGCAGAATCAAACCATTTACAGATCTTAAAGGTGCAGTGTGTAGGATTTATGTTGATCTACTGGCAGAAGTGGAGTTAAATATTCAGAACTATGATTTAAGTTGTGTATTATCACCTGAAAATAAGAATTGTTTATTAGCTTTAAATGAGCCCTTCATATCGAGAATGGGAGCAGAGTTCTCTTCTGCCATGTTGCATGTCTAAGTTTCTACCAGTAGCCCAGTGGGAATAAACTAAACACTATCTCTGAAGAAGGGCTTTTGCATTATTAGCGGCCACTGTAGGTTCTTTTGCATGCTTGAGAGATCAGGGAGGAGTATTCAGTTGGTTGCAATTTGCATTATCATTGCTAGATGCAACCTCTCTGGGTTACTGTCAGACACCACTGGGAAACTAGAAGAGTCATAGACAAAGAGTGGCTGAACGGATCTGGACATGTTCTGATTTCTGTTCACTTGTTGAGGTACATTGTAATGAACATAAATTCAAATGCATGTGTGCCACGGGTGGTGTGTCTCGGATATAGAAGGAAGAAAACGGCTGAACCATAGTCCTGAAATTGTGACTAACTCAGTGTTTTAAATTTGGCAGTCTAAAAAGTGCAGGATTTTGCTTTTCAATTAAACATTCATCCATAACTTTGCAAATCGTTGTATGTGACTGTATGTAATAATCATGTAATTGCTGATTTCCTTTCAGGGAAGACTACCACACAAAGAAAGCAGAAGAGAGGAAACAGTTCAAAGCAGAGACGAAAGCAAAAGCCAGACAGTGAGTAAACAAGCTGCAGCATTTTATGCATAGGCTGTATAAAACAAGTGGATGTAAGTTCTGAGTCTGAGAAGGGAAACCAATGTGGAAGTGCATGAAACCTGCATTCTTTTTAACAGCCAGCAGGGGGCGACTTCTCTGATCACAAAAAGAAGTCAGTTTACACAGAAATCTGCGAGAAATGGACACTAATTCTCACGTGATTTGTTACCACAGTAAACATTTGTCTAATGAGTTTATGGTTAGTTTGAAGCCTCCTTCAATAAAGCATGGAAACTATTTTGTAGATGATGCCCCATTTAGAGTAAAATCAAAGTCATTCTTTAGGATGGGACCTTCTTGGGATTGTCAAGTTGCTACTGTGTAGTCTTGCAGTGTTCTCAGTGAGATCACCCCTCGCTCGACACTTCTAGTTCCAAAATGTCTAACTCGAGGCTTAAAAGTAATAGTCTACATGACAATGGGTTACATCATAGTGGCTACATCCACTTCTTTTATATAAGGTCTATGGTCTTATATCATAAATATGGACTGTACATTTTGTGGGAAATGACTGACCTTCTCCCTCCCAAAAATGTTATTTAGTGACAAGGAACAACAGCAGAAACATGCAGAAGAGAAAGAAATGGTAAGATCCATAAAGTGCTTAAAGCTTAACGTCTGTTACAGAGTTGGACTCCTTATGTACAGAGTATAACTTTATTTATTTTCTTTTGTACTGCAGGGTCTGCTTTTGGATGAAAAAACGGGTTGCTTATTGAAGTTTTCCGGAGAACTTGAAGATGTTTCACGAGAGGACTTTCATGAGCTGTTCTCTGGACACGGAAAGATAAAGTGGGTGGACTTCACAAGAGGAGCCAAAGAGGTCGGTTATCTGTCTGCTAATGAAATGTCAAACACGGAGATGAAGAAATGTCATTTGGTTAAACCGGTGTATTTTCACTCCCGAAAAGGGCACCCTTCTGTTTGACGGGAATGCAAAGGAAGCGTTTGAGAAGGCCAAAGAAGCGTATGGAGGGGAACTGAAAATCAAGGACAGCAGTGTTACGTGGCAGGTGCTGGAAGGAGATGAGGAGAAGGAGGAACTTAAGAAGATAATTGAAGCTCAGCAAGAATCATTCAGCAGGTCCAAAGGCAGAGGTAAGTTCTGTTTTCAAACTGCAGTTTTCATGTTTGTGACGTTGCTTCTTTGACTAGAAAAGATCCTTTAAATTGAAACTGAAAACACACCTGTACAAAGTGACCTGTACTTTACATAGATGCACATTTATGATTTATCATGTCTTTGTTGAAAGGTGGAAGAGGAAGATCAGGCGGCAGAGGAAGAGGAGGCCGAAGGGGAAGAGGCGGCAGAGATCATGGCAGAACTCAGTACCAAGGAAAGAAGACGAAGTTCGATAGTGATGATGAGGATGACGGTAAGTTCAACACATTTCAGAGTTGGTTTAACAATAAGATGTTCCCGTCTGCATTATGAATAATCATTTCTTGTCTTTGTGTTTTTCCTCCAGAACCTGCAGCAAAAGTTGCCAAAACTGAAAACGGATCTTAGTTATGAGGTCACAGCCACAATTTCTGTTTAACAAAAACATTTATTACAAACGGTGATAAAAACAGAGGCAACTTAAGTCCATTCCAGTGAAAGCTTCAGGTTGTGGAGAATCGTAAGAAGTCCACCTGGATGTCAACCTAGAGAAATAATTGCAAAGCTTGAAGTCAGTTTGCAGACTTTAAAGTCCCTATATGTTGTGCCTCTCATTTTTTTTGTGAACCTGCATTTCTCTTCTTAAGATCATTTGATTTTAACATAACCGACAAACTTGCTTTTTGCCAGTAACTTAATTTCACCTGAACATTTTAGTTGATTTTGTAAGACCTGTGTGACATCTAGAATCTGTGTGCCATTGTTATTTTCTTTGTAGATTTCCTACTTGGAGTGATGAGAATATCTGCTTTGCTCATTTTTTAAGTTTGCATATGTGAATAGCAAATAAAACATTTGTAAAAATTCATCTGTTTGGATTTGTTTTGTCAGTTAAAACTTGAGACATCGGATGGAGAACATATATTCAGAAACGGCGTATATGAGCTTACCGATTTCTTTTTGTGGAACTTGTAAGACGCTGGCAAGTCGTATCGTAGTTCTGTAAAGAAATAATGTAGTCAGGGTTTGAAAACATAAAATCTAAAGATGTACGGTGTTTTTCTTACCTGCTATGACTTCCATCTTTACTCCCCAGTCATTAGCCTTCTTCTGTATGTGCTGTAATTAGATGAGGAAATAAACATCAGGCATTACAGCAGAGACTTGAGGTTTTACTTGAATGCAAAAATTCACCAAGTATCACATTTTATCTCGTCTGTGAGAAGACATGGTCATGATGCTGAAATCAGTTTTTAAAATTACTTAAATTATACATTAAGTTTTACTCAGTCATTATTCAGAGAACTGAAAGATGTGCAGCCATGAGTTTCCTGATAAAAACCTGTGATGTGACAGCTGTTAATGCTGCTGATGGACACTGAACGTACCTCTCGTGTTGATGTTTTATGAAGCGAGTACACGGCTGTCTGTGCCATTGTTAAGGCAGCTCGGAGGAACTTCATGTCCATACCTTGAACCAAGAAAAAAACATATTGCAACTGTAATTTCTGAGAAATATCCATCCATCCATTATCTATACACCGCTTAATCCTCACTAAGGTCACGGGGACCACTCACCTTGGTTGTGTTTTGTCCCAAATGGTGGATTCATAATCACAGTGTCAAACTTGTTGGCATAAGCCTCTGCCTCCAGACAGCACAGGTCACACTGGACCAGGTCGATGTTAGAAATCTCAAATTCATCTGCGTTTCTTCTGAATATGTCCAGAGCGTCATCGTCGATGTCGAAGCCGACGCACAAACTGCAGAGGAGAGAGAAGAAAAGATAAGATAAAATTTTATGAACCCTGAAAGAAATTCTTGTGCCTGATATTGCTCAGAAAAGATAAATAATATGATGTAAAAAATACAGTCAGCATAAAGCAGTCAGACATAAGTATGATACATTACTGAAATTACTAAGATATGTGAGGTAAAATGCTCATGATTATATGGGGGTAATAAATAATATCACACATGAGGATTTTTATTTTTTTTTTAAATACATAAACAAAACACTATTTTGCCCCTGAAAAATAAAAAATACAAATTAAATTTTGCACATATTGTCTGTGCTGTACATGAAATATTGCACATGTAATCAAAAAAATCAAATGCTGCACATGATAAGGAGATATTACACTTAAAACTGAAATATTATACCTGAAAAAAATCAAAGTATGAAATATTACACCTTACATATTGCACAAGAAATGAAATGCTTGATGCAGAAACTAAAATTGCACAAACTATTGAGAGACACATTCCAATGATATTGATCATTTCTAATGCATTAGCTGTCATTTCCTGCAGAGAGGGGGGGATTTATACCGTTTGATGGCCAGTTGTAGAAAAGATCCAGCAGCTTTCCAACATGCAAACAGGATTTTAAAAAAAACAAGCGTTGACTGTTCTCACCCTGCGTCCAGCATGGCAGCCCCGATGCTCAGCACTCCACAACCACATCCCAGATCTGCCACCAGTTTCCCCTCGATGTCATCAAACGTGCTCTGGATGGTGTAAAGCATACATGCTGTGGAGGGTGGGGGGAAAAAAACACAAAGTTAACAAGAACTATGTGTGCTTTCAATAACTGTTCAGTTGTTCGTCTCACCTGCTATGTGAGGGCTGGTAGGATACTGCTCCAGGAGGATTTTGGGCTCTTCAAACGTGTCCACTTGCTGTAAGCAGCTTTCTAACTCTTTCAGTTTCATTGCTGTGACGTCCCAAACCTGTCTGCACCTCCCTGATGCGCTATTTCGATACTATTTACTTAAAATCACAGGCAAAGCATAATGTTTTGAGCCATAATTCTGCGCATGGCTGAAGACGACTTCCGCAAAGCTGTGTGCAGCAACCAAAACAATCCGACACTCCCCCGATACCAGGAATATGCGTTCCTCCTGCACTTCTTTCGTTATTTGTTTATCTAATATTGAATAATACGATATTTTACAATTCTCTAATGTCACATTTACTTATTCCACGGTACTCGTATTTTATAGACATATTCATTTATTTCATAGGAACATCTGTTTATGTATTTTTTATGTTAATTAGTTGTCAAATGATTTGGTATTCTACATTATTTCATGTGAGGAGATGTATAATAAAATAAAACAACAGATCGACATAATGATGGTTCACTTTTCCAGCAAACAAAACATCAGTGGCTTTAAGAACAAATGCTGTTTAGCCTGTAAGCTAATTACTGGTACCTCTTTCAGACATGGTACGTGGAACATTGCTGCGTTCATCAATCCGTTAAAGTGACAAAGGCATTTTCTCTTAATGCTCCTCATGGCTGCAGTCACACATAGCGCACACCACATTCACACCAGACTAGTCAATATACTAAGTGATCCCATCCATCCATTATCTATACACCGTTTAATCCTCACTAGGGTCGCAGGGGTGCTGGAGTCTATCCCAGCTGACTCAGGGTGAAGGCAGGGGACACCCTGGACAGGTCACCAGTCTATCACAGGGCTACACTTAGAGACAGACAACCAAGCACACTCACATTCACGCCTATGGACAATTTAGAATCACCATGCAAACTCTATGCAGAAAGATCCCAGCGGTCCTCACCATTAAATTCAATTTAATTCAGTTCAAATAACTTTATTTATTTCCTAGGGGCAATTCAAAAGCTCACTGAGTATTTAATATAAAGACATGGAAAACAAAAACAGACAATGAAACAACAACAACAACATAAATATTACATTATTTACATATTATTACATTATAAATATTACATGGGCATTGGCAGGGAGTCGATCAAAGATGGTTGTGCGTTTAGATGGAGGACAGCTCTGGGAACAAAGGTTGCCCTCCTTCTTTGAGTCCGGCAGCCTGGGCAGTGAAGGCAACGTCCAGAGGGGAGCCGCTCACATGCAGGGAACAGTGGGTGTGATGGGTCCTGAAGGATCTTGCTGGCCTTCCTTAAAGTCTATTGCTCACAAAAGGTGGAGAGGGCTCTCACAGGGAGCCCGATAATTTTGGAGTAGATAAAAACATAATAATGCAATAACAGACTAAAACTAAACTGATAGCAGCTGATAAAAGTGCCCAAATGACTAATTGCCCACTTTATCTGTGATTTCTTAAACAGTGAAACTGAGAGTTCAGGACTCAACCTGAGGATGTAGCAAATTATTAGACTCTAGCTGATAAACTGTCACTGTTCAGCTCACCTGTCTGAGGTGAACAAAAGTCCACAATGTGACCTGCTGTTAGATCCTGATCAGCTCTTTCTCCATGTTGGTTTATAATCATAAGAATGTATTTAAGTTACTAGTGCTGTTGTTCAATGTGAAGATGTGCATACAAGTGGATCCTACTGCTGTCTGATGCTGCAGGTATTAAACCAACTTGGAGGCAATAATTCCAAACAGCTGGAAGAAACACACCTCAGCTCCTCTTAACATCTTTACAGGGAAAAAGTTGGATTACATTCATTATTGGTGAGTATCAATATTCTTTAAACTGTTAGCGTCTGTTTTTATTGCAGTGAGGTTTTATTACGGAGGACATTTAATATTTTGCTTCATAGATTTAAAGTTGTAGAGCAAAGTGCGTGAAAAAGGTGTGTTGTGAATTTGATGCACAAACTGTGCGTTAAGGGTCTATGTGATGTTTTAAAAGAAAAACTTGCTGAAATGTGGAAAAATCCTTCCTTTAATCACTTTACACAACTCAAAGTCCATAATCCATTAATATAACAGCTCAGTTCACACTTGTGCCAGGTTTAAAGTGATACGGAAATATTATTAGGTCAGACCTAGTAAGATTGGCGGGTCGACTTTTATGGATAAGTGACTATTGTGAGTATTCAGACATGCAGCCGACCTCGTCAGATTAACGAATAGAGTGCATTTCTGAAAGGAGTACGGAAAGGGTGTTTCTGGACCACAGTAGTAGGACTGCACTTCTTGGACCCTTGACTGTTGCAACCTTCCAGACTAAAGTGAACAGTTTATAGGTTTTAAGGTTTATTCCACTGAAAATACTTCTCATAGTTTCCACCCAAAATACTGTGCAAATATTTATAGTTTTATAGGTCTGTGCTACCTGAATAGTACTTTCTTTTACATGTTGTGGTTTAAAAGTTTATTTCATTTTTGACATTTTAACTCATAGACACAGATGTCCCTGTGGAGCTCCTTAGTTGTTTTCTTTGGTAGAAAAGTGAGAAATCACAGTGTTTGATGTGTCATGTTATGTTTTAATCACATCTCCTCACATGGTATGGCATGGAACTCTGTTTTATTAAATAAACAAATACATACATAAATACATGAATAAACAAATAAATAAATGTAAATATGGCTGTGAAATAAAATAAAATTTGTGGCAGTATGAAAGAAAAGCAATTATATTATTATTGTTATTTCAGGAATTTCAGAATGTATTTTATGGCAATATTATAAAGTATATATATACTGTATATATACATACATACATATGTGTGTGTGTGTGTGTGTGTGTGTGTGTGTGTGTGTGTTTATTTAATTATTTATTTCATATCAAGTAAAACGGCATTCCATAGTAAATAAATGTCCCCTGAACTGAGTAGATGTTGTATTAGGAAAGTCCTCTGTAAAAAAAAAAAAAAAGAAAAAAAAGTGGCATTATGAAATAAATGTTCGCTGAAATAAATTTAAGTATTCCTTTGAAAAAAAGTCTTAAAAAACGATGAATTTACTTATTCTGAAATATATTTGTTGCTTTCATTTATTTATCTGATAGCCTTATTTCTTTATATTATAAATGCTGAGTTAAGTCCATGCTCCTCACAACACCGTGTTTTCTGTGTGCACTAAGTTAACCCAGAGAAACAGTCAAAAGAAGGTGGGACGCTCCTAAACCAAGCTATTAGTTGCCTGGAAACAGTCTAACAAAACAGTCCTTAGACGACTGGGTGGAAGGAGCAGGTTAAACAAATAAGACGCCTTCGGCTCCGCAAGATCAAATACCTACAGTAGGCTTAAAGATCAAATGAGATCAAATACTTTAACTGGATTTATTTGTAGCCCTCGCACATAGCGTGTAAATTACTTTGGGAAATTCTCCAGCCAACGACGACGTAACGAGCCGTATCGCGAGAAATCACGAGAACATGGAAACAAGACAACAAAAATAAATTTGTGGACAACAAGCCAGAGTGCATGATGGCGGCGTCGCTGCTGCGCCGGGACAAGAGAGCCACTGCCGCCCACTTAAAGGCAGACTTAAACCGGACTGACAATAGCTCTGGGGTGCGACAACTCCAGGAGCTGCTCGACGTTGTGCTAAATCCCGAAAAACCAGCGGCGGACACAGAATCCCTTGACTGGTGTAAATGTCTGATTGCAGGAGGCGAAGGTTTCGAGGAGTTCTGCAAGACGGTCCGGTCCTATGACAACGCGACTCTGTGCGGCTTGGTTTGGACGGCAAATTTTGTGGCATATCGATGCCGGACCTGTGGCATCTCTCCGTGCATGTCACTGTGTGCTGAGTGCTTCAATAACGGAGACCACACGGGCCATGATTTCAATATGTTCCGGAGCCAGGCTGGTGGGGCCTGTGACTGTGGAGACAGTAATGTCATGCGAGAGAGTGGGTAAGTCCGAGCTAGCTGCTAGCTAAGCTATGCTAACTAACAGGTTAGCCTGTATCTTTTGACAGGTCTCGGTGGGAAGTGGGCTAACTTAGCTCGTAACATTTTCTAATCGGCGTAGTCCGTGTCAGTTTCTTTATAATTGTGTCTGAGGTGTGCTCACGAATTAATGTCAGTCAGCAACATTTTGGACTAGTACGATGCTTCTGTCATTAACAGGAAAGCTACGACTAGGTAGCTGTGCACTGGGCTACCTAGCCTGGCTAACCATAACAATAATTGAAGCTGAAACAGGTGTCTGGATGTCCTTCTAGTGGCTGCTTAGTCATTATATGTTATATGGTCTGGGAGGTTGATTATTGTTGTATAAATATGTTTTAATTTATACTGTCAAACCCTTAATTATAGTGAATACTATAATGTTAATTTCATTCCGTCTGTCCTGTAGCAGACTCAACATCTTAAATATATTCTTGTTTATATTGTTTCCCTCTCATTAAACCTAATCCACAATCACAGCTTAAATAAAATTTTATTGTTCAATAATAAAATATGGCACAGACAAGGCTGAGTATCTTATATCTTAAACACATTGTGTTCTAACAGGTTTGATATATACATGTATTGGTCTTTATGAACAAATTACTGTGATTTATGACTATTAGCTAGTAGGAATATGACAGAACCCTGCTTAGTCTTGGTGCCTGTATTGTCAGAAAATTATAATAAAGTTATATGACTATTCAGGCCATTAAAACAAAGCATTTACTTATGTTTAATATGTATACAGACATTTATAATCACATAAGCTAAATGTAATAAAAAGTCATACTGTGTGAGGAAGGTCTACATGTGAGCTCTCTAAGAAAACTAAAAACTGTAATAAGATTGTTTTGTAAGCCCCACTTCATTATTATGCCTGCTCAAAACAACTGTTCAAGGCCACAATTATCGGGACACAAGACAGGCCAAACAGAGAATGTATGAGATTTTGCTTTAAACATCACATACAGTGCCCGATTGTGAGGGGGCAATCAGGTAATTATAGTTCCCTGGTGGGGCTGTGATGCACATTGGGTAGGGTAAAACAAACAAACAAACAAACAAAAAAAAGCGTTACATGATAGTTTTTAATTGCTCTTGAGGCCATCTTACATTGTTCGTACTCATAGTAAACCTACAAGTGGACTGAAGATCACTAATAATTCTGCCTATTTTCTTCTTCTTGTTAAATGTGTAGAGTAATATAAAATAA